GTCACCCCCACCCCCTCCCTTCCCTTTTCTAATATAACCACAGTTTTCCACCTTGCCCACTGCGCATCCCAATGCGCTGCCCCCAAGCTCTTCGCTCAGCTCAAGTAAACCGCCCCCAGCCGATCCTCGTCCTTCTTCCTATAGCGAATACCCATGTGTTGGTAGCAGGTAGTTGGAACGTAGCCGTTTCGGAAATGAATGCAAGCATCAAGACATTATCACATGCAATGGATGACTGTACATATTAGAGCCCGTGTTTAGAATATCACTGTACTTGTATCTTGCTCGAGTCAAACATTGGTACACATCATCGAGAACATGTTGTAACACAGCGTGTTGGTCATATGCGGACATGAATCCCATTACGTACATGACAAAGACAGAGCCAAGGAAAAAAAACCAGTCCCTCCCAAGCAGCCCAGACCAAAGGAAAATCCTAGCCTACGACGAGTATCCCTCATCATAGTCGTTGTCATCGTCATTCTCGTAATCCTCACCAGAATCCATATCCTCAAGTAGTCATCGCTCCGCTCCCGCAACCCCACCATTTACTTCCACATCACCCCTCTCTCCAGCACCACCAACAACAACACTATCGCCATCGACATCCTTTTTCAATCTCCCCTCTCTACTAGCGAACCCCAGTCGCTCCACCCCCAACATAAGCGGCAACGGCAACACCAATGCACAGACCACGGCCTGGAAAACCAACGCCCAGAACATATGACCAGGTGGTCTATCCCCTCCCTCAGCCGCCTGGCCCCTACCCGCCTTCTGCACCTGTTCCAGATCCACCGGCCGACCGTCTTTAAGCTCATTCATAACGACGATGAAGATACCGCCAAAGACCTGCCCGCCAACCCAGCAGATGGTGCTCGACACCTCTGGCGAAGCAGGAAAGCTAATCTCGACCAGGTACTCCAGCGCAATAGGCAGCAGGCTGAACGAACACGCGCCCAGCACCGCACTGAGCACATACGGCGCTGCGATAGTGCGTGTCTGCGGCGCCCAGATCATGGCTAGATACGCGGCTGATAGGATCGGGCAGAGAATCTTTATGCCGAGGAGGTAGGCGTGCGTTTTGTCGGCGATGGGCGAGGTGATGGCACACGCGACGAGGCCGACGACGATGAGGACGGCGCCGCAGATACCCGCTTCGTCTTCGGTGTAGCCGTATGGGTACAGGATTTGGTTGAGGAGAGAGGTGAAGGCGTTGAAGAAGCCGGTGTAGATGCCAAAGGTGAAGAAGACGAGGTAGAAGGAGGGTGTGCGTAGCATTGTTCTGAGGGAGGTGGAGATGGGGGTTTTGCTTATGGCGGATGACGCGCTGGGTGGTGAGGGGGGAGAGGCGGGTATGAAGAATGACTGTTTTTGTATTTTAATAACAGGTCCGGACTTGGGTTTGGGGAAGTATGTATGGAGATAAGGATAAGGACAAGGGGGAGACGTACCGGAATACATGCTGCGGTTGCTATACACGATACAATCAACACTGTAGTCGGTACATCGCCCAGGAATGGGTTGATCAACGATGCAAGCTGTTGTGTCACGTTAGTATGTCTTTTTGCGATCTTACCTCTATTATTCAAAGTGCATAACATACCGCTGCTCCAAACGGATTCGCCAAACTCGCCAACGCCGTAGCCCCCACCCTTCCTCCCTCCGTAAACCACATATCACTATACCGCGTCGGCGCTGCTAGCACAAAAGGTTGCGCAAGTCCCGTCAATATCTGTCCCACCATGACCACGCTGAACACGTTTGTCTTGGTCCCTGCATACCGGATCCAGTTCCCCGCCAAGAGTAAGATGGAGGCGGCGATGATGGAAGGTTTAGGGCCCTTGTGCAGGAGGTAGATTGTTAGTGGGGTGGACACGGCAAAAGCGAAGAGGAAGGCGGTGCTGAGCCAGTTGATGGTGCTTTCGAGGACGTTGAAGTATTGGGAAGATGTGGTGGATATGGGGGCAAAGGTCAGCCACTAGTGATTGATTGTTAGTAAGTGATATCTCGCGCCCCCCGTTGTCTCCAATGACAAGAAGTCGTCTTTGGAACATTTGGTCATAGTGGCGTCAGTAGCTCCGTCGGTACTTAAAGCGTGCGCGGGACCCTGACCTAAAAGACCCTTTCCGTACCAGCTGCGAAGAAGCAAAGAAGTCAACTTACATCCCAACTAACGACAATGTTCAACAACACCAATTGTCCCAAGCCAATCCACCGTCTCTTGTACACCTTGTAGTGCGTATGGCTATAACTCTCTTTCTTCTTGCCTAGCCCGAATCTTCTCTTCTTATGTTTCGGCCGCTGCTCACGTGCCTCATCTCCATCTCCTCCGCCATGTTCAATGCCGCCGGTAGTCCCATCTCCTCCAAAGTCGACTCGTCGCGAAGACGACGAGATGCCTAGCTCTTCGTCGTCCAGTGCAGCGTCTTCGGAAAGATGCGCGGCATTCTTGAGCATGGCATCATGGGTCTGGGTGTGCGATAAGTCGGCCATGGTCGTTATACGGATGCTCTAGCCGACGACTTCGTTCCTTGGACTTCCAGGACGCGCTGCGCGGAAAGGGTACCCGTCCCTCGATATATATAAGCGGCGTATAGATCGCTCAGGCCAAGACCAATGAACGACGGTGGCCGTAAGTTCCCACGGCAGGTCAAAATGCCTGTGAAAAGCGGATGTAAGGTTGGTATTTGTGGGTAACTTTGTTCTTCTCCAGCGTGCGCGCTGCGCACAAAACGGTTCCCGTCTCTTGTTGAATGTCGCAGTCCCAGTGATAACAACGCCCAATCGATACGTGCACAGATAGCCGCGAGTTTCCGAGGCGCACCAATATTGCAGAACCAGCTGTTCAATCAAAGCCGTCGTTGTTGTCGTTCTTATCGCATCCGCGGTCGCAAGACGCCCGAGTTTGACATGTGCGACTACTGGAGGGCCATTGGCGTTGGCTAAATCATTGCCTCTGGATGAGGCAAGGGGTGAGCTAGTCGGGACGGACTTGCCGCCTTATTCAGCGCTAGTGGGCCGTTCTTTTGCTGCAGGTGCACGCAGGTGTATCGTGGGAACTAGCCTTGCACATTGCTTCGCGCTGGGGGTGGAGCAAGTCTGCTGACGCCTTGTCTCCGTGCGCACTGGTAAACATGCTGTTTTGGGAAGAGATGGGAGGGCGGGGAAGGACAGGGATCGACTACGCGACTGTGTTGGGTTGATAAGACGAGGAAGTTGGAGGTCGGCGTGCATGGATGTGTACGTGATTTATCCGGGTGAGAGATGAAGTAATGAAATAGTTGAGGATAGTTGCGCGAGGCTGAGATGTGGCGCGCTTCGGTGTCTCATTCAAGCGGAATGTCACGAGTGGAGTAAGCACGTGGAAGGCGGCCTCCCCTCCAAGGCTGCAACTTCAAGAGGTGATCGTCTCTCAAGGAAGTGTCGGACATCAATACAGACATGTCAACATCATTCTACCCCATTTACGATACTTTGCCCGATGCAAGCGACAACTTGCGCCTTCTTATCGTCCATGCTGGTGGCGTGTCCGAACCTATTCGATGCACACTGCGAACTGTCAGCTTTCGCGACAAGCCTTCTTATGAAGCTTTGTCGTACACGTGGGGCGATACTCCCACCACCGAGTCAATCGAGGTTGACGGCTTTGACATTCAAGTTACTGCGAACCTCGAGCAGGCGCTGCGTCACTTACGGGATGTGGAAATCGATATTACACTATGGGTAGACGCTGTTTGCATCAATCAATCGGATTCAGCCGAAAAGTCGCATCAAGTTGCATTCATGGGCAAGATATATCGAGACTGCGCCCAAGTACGGATCTGGTTGGGATGCGATAGCTCCAAGTGCGGCATTACACAATCCTCGTTCCAACCGAGCGACTCAGCAGACGGCAACTCTGGAACAGTGGATCTATTCGAACTTATACGCAATCTGGCAAATGGTCAACACATATACGAGTGGCCTTGCTTCCGTACCGAGAATGACTGTGGGCGCGATACAACGGTCTACGAGGTCAATGATAAGTGGACCGAAATTCGCGAAGCGTTCTTGGCTGTCATGGAAAGCCCATGGTGGTCGCGCATGTGGACAGTTCAAGAAGCGGTCTTGCCTACGAAAGGCATATTGACCTATGATGTATGGTCCACATCGCTTCAGACAATCGCTGACTGTGGATTCAAAGCCCACGAACACATCGTAAATTGTTGTAGGGATACTGCACTTCAGTTTCCTCCTAAATTCTACGCCTCACTGGAAAATTTCTTTTTTGTACTTCTATCTCTTGCCAACGGGCGCATAAGGTACGACAATGGCGATGTCCAGCGATCAGAATTGCAGCGACAACATGTGCAATATAGCTATCGGGAATGTCAAGACCCTCGCGACAACGTGTATGGACTCTTGGGGATTGCTGGTGATATCACTTTCAAGCCTGACTATACTTTGTCTATACATGAGGTCTTCTTGCGTGCTACATGCCACATGCTTTGTCATGAAAAAGGTACATTGGGAGCCTGACAGGACATCAGTATGGACCAGGACCGGGCAAGTGGGCATCATGGGCGCGTCAATTCGATGCACCCGTCGATATTACCTTTTCCGGTTATGCTTTGAAAAGATACTTCGCCTACCATCCAGTTCATTCCAACATTTTCGATGCCTCCGATGGCCATAAATCGAAACGCGTGTTGCTTATGGCTCATCCGACACTAGGAGAATCGGACGCGAGCCACTTGGGACTTGAGATTGTAGGCAGAAGAGTTGGAAGACTTAATTTTATCTCGCAGGAGACCTTTCTCAGTCCTATAATAAGAGACGTGAGCAGGGTTCTCAGACAATGGACCCTAGACGCGCTCAATTGGGATGTCATGGATAGCTTAGCAGATAACCATGCTTACAACAACTCTCCTAATGATTCCAGCAAATATCCAGAGACATCTGTGAGGTTCTGGAGAACGCTGCTAGGAGGGTTAAGTATACCACACAACGTACACGTTTCACCGTGGGAGTGGACCAGGTTTACTCCTGCAACGATGGAATGGCTGGATGAATTTTTCTCGTGGTTTAGAGTCTATCAACCTATGGATCAGGCACTTTTCCAGATGATCTCTGTTGTGGCATACGGAAGACGCTATTTCAAGGCGGGTGATAGTAGTCAGGGTCTCTGCTACCCGAATGCTTGTGTTGGTGACGAGGTGTGGGTATTGCATGGAGGAGATCTACCGTTCATTCTTCGACCAGTCTGTCTTGATCAAGAAGAAAGAGGGACGCTGATACCCTTGGATGAGCAAGCCTTCATGAAAGACGGAAACTTGGTTTTCAAGGACGATTGCCAGCCTGCCAAAGCACCTGATGGATACTACGAGCTTGTTGGAGACTGTCATTTTGACGAATTTATGCATGGCGAAGCAATGCACGACGCCGCGTTCCAGGACCAGACTATCGTGTTGGTGTGAACATTGGAGGGATTGCAAAGCATGAGGCGACGTCTCAGGGACTCGCTAGTCGCTCTATTTCAACGCCGTATATATGTCAGCAAGTGGTAGTCGGTGCAGTGAATGTAGTGGCTTTTCTGGCGCAAGGCAAAAGACTCGAGCAGTCGTGGTCAATGCAAAGGTCAGCCTGTGCCCATGATCCCCCTACCTCCACTCCCCCCATGCCTTCATGGATATACTGCTCGCCTATGTACACAAGCCGGCCGGGCCGTAATGCGACTCAAGTCCATGGTCCATTTCCTAAGAAATCAGTCAACATCTTACTGCCTCGGTCCATAACGGTCACCTCTCGCAGCAACCCAAGCACGCCCTCGGCACCAAGAGGCATCAACATCATTGTTGATCAGCACTTATCACTAAGCCTTGCTCCATCTCCGAAAGCGAGCGAATGTCAACCACACGAGTCTTCTCCATGTGGTGATGAACATACTAATCCTAACATACCCTTATCACCGCCCCCATATATGCCTTCGGTGTCTAAGCTGTTCGACTCTCATCGAAGAGACTCTACACATATGGGTACCTTGGTCGCGCCCGGTCATTTGGTCGTGCACTACTAGCTGGTCCATCGCTCAGCCTGATGAAAGTCCCCAGGGGCGATCTGTCGGCCAGTGCCGGCAGCATTGCCCATACAAGAGCCTTTTCTACGCCTGACCAGCGCTCGACACGTAGGAGTGATCGAGCATCAAACTCGTACTTACTTGGAAACTTTTCTCATGCAACCCAGGACAGTTGGATACTGGCCGGTACTCCTGAGCTACATCACGAAAACAGTAGCATGTCGGTAGCCGTTGCGTCAGGGTTCATACGCGTACCTAGCATCACCACCCCACTGCATGAACGAAATCCGTCGAATCGATTCTTATCTTCATCCGAAACTAGTGCTCGTAAGTTGTCGCCAACCGGAACAGCGCCTCAGGAAAACCTTGGAAAGAGCGAGGCGCCCTGGAATATCGACCATGTTCGGAAAAGCAAACAGGCTAGTGGAATCCTTGAGACTCAGAATCCAGGCCATCTCTTCCACACTGCAGCATAGTTGTGGCAGATGCCGTACTAATAGAGGTTCCGTACATTGCGCCAGATACAACACCAGAGACGCCCCGCAACATCCTCGCACGAGCCAAAGCTAGAGAACCCGTCAACGCCAAACCTGCACATGCCGATCAACTCTCTAGTGATGACCAAAAGAGAGGAATCATTGTTGAGCTGAACGTTGGTTTTACCGATCTGCGTCGTCAGCGTTGGAGTAGAAGTGCGTTGACCCGGGGTCGTCCAGCCGGCGCTATAGTCTCGCGCACAAGGCCATCTCACGAGGTTACCTCGCAGCGATTAGATGAGCCCGTAGCAAACGCAACGGTTCTTCAAAAGCACACGACTTCGCTCACTGACCATGAAGCTGCACTTACGCTTCTGTCTCCTACTGTCGCAGTCAATATGTCCTCACGACGACCAAGCCAGGATTCAGATATCTCAGAAGTCATCTGGCCGGATGAGATTCCGGATGAACCGACCGATGCACAGCTCTCGATCAGCCATGTTAGAACTGTCATATCGCGGGCCCCTCTAGTTGAATCGCAGCGCGCTGATCTCACCCCCACCGAAGCTAACACAAAAGTCTTTATTTGTGCAGCAGTAGGAGTCGCTGCAGGAGTCGCTCTCTGGGGTCTTTCGAACGAAATGTTTTCTACGAACTCGGTGCTAAACTCAGTCGTGGCGTCAATTGTCGTTGCGTCTGTATACATTACTCTACGATTGATGGCAGGTGGTCGGTTGCGACCTTAGTTCGTGGACATTGCACAAGGCATAGGTGCGGCGGTGGAAGCATGATTTGTCTCTTTCTTTCACAGGTTACAAGACGGTCATTAGGAAAAAGGATGTTGTCACTTACAAAGTTCCTGGTTGCGATCAAGTGCATAGAGTAATCGACGTCCAATTCACTAAGCTATAGAGTCGGGTGCTAATAATATCAATGTGGAATAAGATACCACAGCTGCCTCACGTAACCATCACTAGCAGTAGAGCCCAACAATTCCACCTTAGAACCCTGCCTTGACGAAATCCTCGAAGCTAGTCAAGCTCTGGCCAGATACAGCCTCAACGTATTTGCTGTACTCATGCTGCTTGGCAGGAGCGTCGTTTCCATAGTAGCTGTAGTCCTTGATCAAGGTCATGTTCTCTCCAAGTTCAGTCTTGACAAGAGGAGGAAGCGGTAGGTACCCCTCCCATACGTCTCTGGGTACCTCCATAAAGGTCACATTGTCGCCAGTGACCTTGGATACAGTGGCAGCCACTTCGTTTGGAGTGACCCATTGCGAAACAGCTTGGATTCTAGCACCATCGGCACCAGCCCCGAGGACCAGGGCACCAGCAACGTACTTGCCAGCATCGGAAACGATGTCGATGAGTGGGATTTGTGTACTAGTAGCGTCCCAAGGGAGTGTCATCATGGAAGCGCCAGTGGCCGGATCCTTGTTGATGGTGCTCTTGAGGTTCTGCATAAAATACCCAGGCATGAAGTGTGTGACCCACATGCCCGTCTTCTTCTTCTGGGTCTCCGCGTAATCAGAGACTTCGGCTTTGGAATCAAAATGCTCGACGTTGGTGAGAGCACCGTTTGTTAGGGCCGTGACGTTGGGGAGTGAAGAGAGGATGAGGTGTTTGACTCCGGTAGCGATGGCGGCGTCGACAATGTTCTTTCCTTGGGTGATCTCCGTCGACTTGGACATTGTCTCCCAGTAGTTGGTGACGGCAAAAGCGGCGAAGGCACCTTGAAATGCGGCTTGAAGGGACGAAGGGTCATTGAGATCGGCTTTGACGGGCTCCACTCCCTTAGCCAGGAGTTTTTGGGCTGAGGGCTTCGTAGTGTCGCGCGTGATACCACGGATCGAGTACTGAGAGGCGATCTCGGGATGAGCAAGAAGAGCTGTGATGACAGAACCACCTTGGTTGCCTGTGGCGCCTAAAACAGTGATGATCTTCTTGGAGGACATTTTGATAGTTTGTCTGAATGCGATATCGAGTTGCTGGATTGCGACAATGGATTTGTGTTGCAGATGGAATGAAGTGCGACTTGAAGAGTGCTGATGCTTGAGATACTGAATGTCCTCCAGCGATCCCGACGTGGGCTATTTAACAAAAATTGCTACATGCGCCTTAACATAGCGAATGCATCGAGCTGACGACGCAACTCCATGCTATGCCTTTCGGACAGCAACGATGATTGCCCACCCGATTACCCAACTTTCGCCCTGCTCGGTCTCGGACAAAAGCTAGTTGCCCGACAAGCGAAAGAGCCAGTCAGCAACTTGTCATGTTGACCGATCGGTGTATGGACTAGTCTGGTTCGGCGCAGCGTTATCCGATTGGGCGAGTCACAACGAGCCAAGGCTGGCGCAGAATGATACATGCGACGAGAGCGCGTTGAGTGCGCAACCCTGCCAGTGAAAATGGCTGACAAACCACTGCTTTTAGATGACGTTGTCGCACACAACGAAAACGCGAACGTCTCGCGCCTCGGGGTGATTGTGAGCAGGTCCATGAATGTCATCGCATCGTGGCGAACGTGTCTTGTCTAAAAGGGTGGGGACTGTACCAGCGATGATAAGCTGCCAGGATATTCTGACTGCTGAGTGTACCTAGTATGTGGGCTGCGGAGGCCACGCACCCGTGGAAATAGAAGTTCCGGCTGCGGTTGCACTTCCACTAGACCGCGTTTGGTCTAGCTGCTATGTACCCTGGACTTCTGTACCCATCCCTGATTACATAGTCACTATCACCATCGTAACAACGACAACGCCGAGACTTAACGGAACTTCAGTTCACTAAACTAATCTCAAAGACTGTCGGCATTAAACATCTCTCAGCGCAAGAGCTGACCAATGCGTGCACTGCCTGGTTCATCAGCAGATCTCGGTCGTCGGGCGATGAGAGGAGTGATGTTGCGTGACCATTTCAACAATTCAAGTTGACGGCATCGTGTCGATTGATGTGATGTAACTATATAGCGCGCCTGTGCTATACTTAGATATCTTCGTCTCTCATTGCTAAACAAGTTACAAGCACAGAGTTGAGCCGGTTTTCCACCCCCAGATTGTAGCGCTAGGCTAGATTGACTGCGCGATTCTTCTCGCTGAAAACAAAACAGACATGAGTTCTCGCACCATTGCAGTTGCTGGCGGCACAGGCAAGCTTGGTCGCGCTATCGTCGAAGAGCTTATCGCCCATGGGGGCTATAAGGTTTTCATTCTCAGCCGCAAGGCAAGTATCCTTTCCACAGCGCAGTAACTCAGATGTCCCTAACTGTGACCTTAAGTCTGACGTGCAAACCTCAAATGCACATGGAGCCAGTATACTAGCTACCGATTACGACAATGTCAATAGCATCGTCAAGCAACTCGAGACCAACGACGTCGACACCGTCATCTCCACCTTGGGCTCTACGTTCGGCACAGACTCTGAAATCGCACTTATTAAAGCAGCGGAGAGCTCCAAAAAGACTATACGATACATCCCCAGTATTTGGGGAATACCCTGTTCGCCAGAGTAAGCATTCCTACTTGGTAGCCTAGAAAGTTGAGCCGAATGTTAACACAGTTCCCAGAGCTGCGGCCATTCTCCCCACGATGAGCGCGAAGAGCGGCTATCTCGAAATCCTCGCAAGCACCTCTTTGGAGTACACTGCAGTGTCGAACGGTGTTTTCCTGGACTACTACGGGTTTCCGAAGGTGAAGTCCTATCTGGGAAATTTACCTCGTGTAATCGACATGGCTGGAAACGCTGCCGCCATTCCCGGATCTGGAGATGTGCCCGTTGTCTTCAGCTATAGCTTTGACGTGGGGCGTTTTATCGCTGCATTGCTATCATCTGCCAGGTGGGAGAAAGAATCGGTCATCATCGGCGACAAGATGACGTGGAATGAGTTTCTCATGGTGGCCGAGGAGACAAAGGGTACCAAGTTTGAATCCAAGCACGACTCGTTAACAGCTTTACAAAAGGGTCGTTCAACAGCACTGCCCAGTCAGAGACAACTGCACCCGTTTTTCCCGCAAGAGAAGCTCGAGCGTATGTGTGCAATGTTTGGTGTACTTTTTGAGAACGGCTTCTTCAACTTCAGACATGAAGGAAGCTTGAACGAGAGGTTTCCACATATCGCCACGAAGAGTGTGAAAGTCTTGCTAAAGGAATCGTGGGCGGACAGTTGAGACGCAGATGTAGTCTAGCGATAGCACCGCACAGACTGGTACAATCTTTGGTCGCGTGTCTCGTGAGCGATATTTGCCTAGCATCCGATTCATAGTCGTCATACGCGATAATGGCATCACATCATTGCCTTTTGACGCTTATCGTGTCCTGCTTGTTGCTTGTTGATCTATGGCCTGTCAAAAATTCATCACCTATCGCCATCAGGCACCTCGCTCGTGCACAGAGGCGAACAAATTTCAGCATTCACGTCTAATCCTAATTGCCTCGGCGCCCACGAGTTTCTCAATGAAATCTTACGGGATGTTACTTGCAGCATAATGAGCTCGTAGATATACGCTCTTCAATGTGACGTCCAGAGCCACCTCGGCTATGCCGCCCTCTTCCAGCTTCCGGCCACTGATGTCATACTCGGAATTCTAGAACAAGAACGACTCAGTTGAAGCTTCTTCCACGTGTGTTTCCGGCAATTGAAAAGAACCTCCGGTAGCAAATTCAGAAAGATATCTGCCCTGTTTCCACGATGCGAACACAAGATCCACGCCATGGAACTTCCTCATGCTGCATGATGTCAGGCCGTCCGTGATGCAGTTAGCCTCTTGGCAGATATGGCCATAGATGCAGTCGATAACAGGGCAATGGCTTCCCCTAGAGCATGGTATCCTCTTGACTGTATATTGGAATGCCTCTACGACTTGGGGGCTGATATAAGAGTGACCGTAACAGCAATTATCTCCAAAGCTACATCCGTTCGCGAGATGGAACGATCGACAAGGCTTGACGTCTTTTCCAATTCTCCACATGTAGTCCTGCCAATCACTAGTAGAAGGCATTTGGGTGTAGTAGTCAAGACGTTGTCCCTTTGCATTGACGGGTATACGACCAGCAATTGCTTCGTGGACTCGTGGTAAGGATCCTGGCTGATGTAGGATGTTTGTAGACGGTCTGAGCACAATCTTCTCACCCATGTCGTCAGGGTTCGTTTTAGTATGTGAACGCCCGCAGTGACCATCCTTGCAAGAGACCTTGTCGCTGACTATTGCGGTGATGATGTGCTTCTCAGTTGAGTGAGATGTGAGTGACAAGAAGAGGTCTTGTTCCAGAGGCTTATTGAACACCTCTGGGATGCTAATCACAGCGCATGTTAGAGGGATGAACTTGGCACCTGCTCCCATGCCGTGTCCTTGGATCAGCGTGACATTCTCGGAGTGCGTTTGTAGCATCGAAATGTAGCCTGGGCGTTTCCAAGCAGCGACGAAAACATGCTTGCAGTCTGGGCCTTTGCGAGCTGCCTGAAAAGCATCTAAGAAGGTCAGTGTTGAGACCAACTATGAATATTGCTTCGAAGGTATCAGTGGTTGTCTACATTGCAACCTTTATAACTGTTACAGCGCGGACTTTTAGGCCAAGCTTGGGGGGTAGAGAGTGTGTTCACTGACCGACGACCTTGAGCTCCACCATTGCCTCATTTCCAACGCCGAGGAAGTCAAAGTCGGAATCCATGGAGGATAATTGAACAGCAAACTGTTTCAAAGGGCGAAGTAGATCGTTCTCTAGCTTGGTGGTGTTGGCGTAGACGCGCACCACGATCCGAGACGTGCCAAGTGTCGCTGAGGACGAGACCTTGAATGAGTGCTCCTTCGTGCTCTTGTGAGGTGTAGCTGAGGAGGATGCATCGATCAAGTGCTTCCGAATCGGTTCATGAAGTCTCTTCTTGATGTTGAATGGTTTGTCACGATCTAGGGCGGGGTAGCTCTGGTCGGTGGATCGATAGAAGATGTCGCCGTTGAACTAAAGGTCGTGTTAGTAAGCATCACTTGGGTGTTCATCTTGATACTCTACCGGGTAGCTATGCGCATCAACCAGCACCAGCACATAAGAGTCGTCGTGTGAGTGGCTCTTGACGACACCTTGATCCAACTCCGTTACAGCCTTTCGGAGTGCATTCCTCGACTCTTCGCGAGGGTCTTCATTGCAGTTGGTTGATATGCCATCAGCGAGGTGGCGGAGCCGCGCTGCCAGTTCGGCGATCATCTCGAAGCTCGCCATCGTGTGGAGTGGGCAAAAAGTGAGGGCCAAGCTTGGGAGAGGTATTACAAAGGCAATTTTTTCGCGTTGTGTGCGAGGTTCTTGTTGAAGTGCGTCGTGTGTTCATCTTCACTCTTCATCGCGGCGTAGCGGCACCCTTTCGAGCAGTGATCATACTTTAACGTTTCAGAGCCCAATCATGGCTACCTACTCCTCATAGCAAGCTTGCATGCGTCAACACCTCTCTCTGTCTGGATGAGATAGGCGTGCGGAACTCGCCTAATAGAAAGCACTACAAAATAATTCTCTACGTTGATTGCCGTGCTATAACTAGCTTAGGTTTGATACAGAAAATGAACCTAACATTTCTATGCTGGAGTAGCTTGCTATCGCGCTTTTCTCTTTACATAGTAATGCATAAAGATTCCTGCTTCTTCAAGGTCGGCTCGATCATCTGACGTATCTCATTCCTCTTATCCGCAACATCATCGAAGAGAACCAGTCGGTTTGCAACGTTGCGTGCCTTTCCGAGTGGTGTTTCCAAAAGGTTTGGGACGTTTTCAATTAACAGTTCCAATAGCTCAAGATAGCGAATCCTGTGTGCGGTTGCGCTTGGCTCGAAGTCGTTGTATTGTACTATTTCCACCCAAAGTGGTTTATACCTGATATCCCCTTCCTTGAACGGCGATGTTACTATAGTGCGGTGTCTTTTCTCTTGCAAGAGTCGGCAGATGATGCGTCGAAGTGTTCGTGTTTCAAGCTCGGTTGCAGATTCTATGTTCAGATATTGGAATATCGCATGAGATATTGGCGATTTGTTCTTGTTGTAAACCTTCTTGTACTCATCATCTATGAACCAAAGTGTTGTTAGCTGGGCCGCATCCACACAAGAGCGAGTGTCTTTAGGGGGTACAAACCGAACAAGAGATACTCGGCACAGAATATAATGCGAGCCTCTAGGAGCCATGATATCATATAGGACTCGTAGTCGTCAAAGTAGGTAAACAGTTTCTCGTCCACTAGGTAGATCCAATGTCTTCCTGAACTCTCGAAGAAGCCTCGTGTCTTCTCATGTGCTTTGCTACCAACTTGATCGAACACAGAGATCAGCTTGCTGAAGAGTTGAACACCTTCTCTTTCCCATTGTCCTAATGCGTGTTGATCTTCCCCTGTCTCCTGGTTCCACGAGAATGAGTACTCCACAGCGAACAACAAACTGCTGACTAAATCGAGACAGAGCTTGCTTCGCTCTTTGCGATTCTTCTTGACAGTGGGTGGAATAAAATGAAGACTTAAAATAGCCGCTCGGACAAGTGAAGTGCGGGGACCAAGTACAGACATGTCGGGTGGAAACTTGCTTAGTTCCATCGCGGCTTCAGGTTCGGCAAGAAACTCCCAGACAGTTCCGTGTACCGCATCCACAACGTAATCGTTGTAAATGTCATGCGTCATTCCGTTCTTGGACAGCGGGGCAATACTCCTCACCTCGAAAATGCCTCCACAACAGCCTTTTAGTCTGTCTTTGACTCGTTGCAAGCTACGCTCTGCATTGAATTTCTTCAGATTTTTTTCCTCAATCAGATCCTCGATAGCGTCTACCTCTTCTGCGAAGTCGAGTAGAAGCGGGCTGAGGGCGATGTCTATCTGAAAGGACTGGGCGAGGATTGAGATTATCCTCGCTCTTTCAAGGAATTGACCATGTCCGACGCTTCTCAGCATTTGCATGTATAGCCCACTTTCTCCGGTCAACTCTTTTGGGAGCAGTCGAACCTTGTGCTTTAGGTCATGCAGCCGACTTCGGTGGTTTATACCATCTATGAGTAGCTTGACAACGAGGGAAACCCACAAAAACATGCCTGAGGCCCTGTCTTTGATGTCTTGGCATATCTCATCTGCTGCTTGGGGATCGTTTTTCGCTAGTTGAGCGAAGCCTTTATTCTGACCAAGCTGCGAGTCGACATAGCACGTAATATCTGGCCCAGTCACTTTCTCCAACTCTAGCCTCGAGCATCCCTCTAGCCCCCCTTCTTCGTCTTCGAACCCAAGATGCGGCCGACTCGATATGCAGATCTTGATGTTTTCGTTTTTCGCAATTTCCGAAATGATCTTTGAGAGTGATTGGCACTTTTCGTAGGCTGTCCTCTGGTCCTCCGAGGAGCTCTCATCAACGCCAACTATCTCGTCGAGGCCATCGATAAGAAAGAACAGCTTGGTAGAAGCACAGATCAGTTTCGCAGTCCTGTTGAGAGCATTGAACAGATCGTCCAGTCCCAAGATATCCAAATCAATGCCATTCTTGTCAAATTTTGGGAATTTACTTTTCGCAGGTGGATCAGGTCGCTTCTCCCGGATGTCTTTGAACTTTGAAAACTGCTCCCAGCGCTCTTTGTAAACCTTGACAATAATTGACTGGTCATGGGCGAGAACCTGATGGAGCAATGTCTGCAAGAGGCGTTCCTCACTGCTTTGCCCGCGTTCGAAAAAGTACGCTGCCTTCAAAAGCTGACTTGTCCCTTTCCAATGTGAGAGGCTCTGATCCGTCTTTGGATGCTGGAAAACATGCTTCATTAGGGTCGATTTTCCTGATCCTGCTTTGCCAACGATCCAGTAAAGGTTCTTCATGTTGCTCTTCTTCTGTGTCTGGCTTCTCATCCACTCCTCAAAGCTTTTGTTCTCGTCGCTTTCCAAAGTCATGGATGAGAGATGGTTATCCAGTGGACGAAAGTCTCCGTTCTTTTCAAAAATCCAGTCGAATGTGTGCTCATGTGGACTGGCAACCCTCTGATATTTTGCTGTCATTCTCTCGAATGCAAGGGTTTCTAGTACATCTGCGAAGAGTTATTCCAAAGCTGTCTGAAAGCACTAAAGCATGATATCGAAGGATACTCTGGAGTCTGAATGCATCATGGGACTGGGACACAAGTAGGGCTTATAAAGAACCGCACTTACGAGTGTTGAAAGCCACGGCACCTATTTCTATCATCAGCATAATTCTCGACAATCATATAGAATAATTCAAAAATGGGTGTTTTTCCAAGAAACGCACACACAGCAGGCCGATACATGATTGGTGTCCATGTGAACAGTTTCCTAGTCTTTGATAGTAACCTCCGCAACTCGATAGAGTTGCAGGCCGACAGAAAGAGTTTTATTGGCCAAAATTATGATGCTGAAAGATTTCCTTCTCGCAGACGCTGAAGCCGACTCTCCAGATCATCATCCGCTACAGTGGGGTTGGTGCGATGAGCCTGCGAAGCCTCAGATAAAAACTGAAGCCCCGGGAGTTTCGTGGGCAGTTTGGAACTTTCTGACTCACTTTCCCGGAGAGCAATATCATAGAGCTCTTTGATGTTACACAACACAAGTTCGAGATTATCAGCGTCCACATCATCCTTGGGGTTGAATCTGCAAATATCGCTATGACCACCAGCCAGTTTCACGACATTTTCGACATTGCCTGGAAGAGTCCCGAATTTTGCGCTTTTGTCGGATACGATCTTGCGAAAAAGGGAAACGTCAGCTGGAGAACGCTACAAGAGTAAATAATGGAGAGACTCACGCTATCGTCACTTCCCCAGAAAGAGACAATCTGGTATTGAAGGATCTGCTGTCTCCACTGAACGGTCACGAGCGATTAGTACTTTTTTAAGAAGATGTTGAAATGCAACGAGTGAGGGTAACGTTTTCCTTACATGCTCTTGGAGAATACCAGTGAAGATGGAATCATCCTTTAGCGTTTCCAGGACGTCTTTGTTCTGCTCAAACCCAGTGCCCCTGGCAATTTTCGAAGTGATGTTCCCCAGCGTTAATAATTTTGGGTTTCCGCCATTGTGTGGTGTAGCAAAGAAAGCAAGACCTGCACTAAGTAAAGAGTCAGACTTCCATCAGAATTTCGATGTAGATAGGTAAGGAGCGTACGTTGCGTCTTTGATATGTGTATACTTTGGGTTGTTATGGGCATTTACAAGCGCCTGCTCGAGCAGTAAGCCTCCAAGACTGTGTCCAATCAACACCAATGGCCGCTTTGGATCCTGGATTCGTTTGACTCGGATTCTCTCAAGGAACTCGTCTGCTTTCTGAACAAAGCTGCTTTTGTCTTTGCCGTATACAACTGTGGAGTTATAGGAGTACATCCAGATTCGAGCATTCGGGGTTTGTTTTGGTAAAGATTCCTTCAGCCATGAATGACCTTCTTTCTCCCACGTGTCAGCTGCGTGCGAAGAAGAGCTTCGCGGATTGAGACCGTGAACTGCAATTATGCTTGCACAGTATAAGCCCAGATCTGATCGAGTGTGGGGTGAAAATGTACTCCACATATGTCACGACTTCGTCTGCATCATCTGTTTGTGGAAGTATCGGATAGAGTTGCTTGAGAGACTGCGCGAACAACTTGTCAGCTCGTATCCCATGGAAATTGAAGGTCCCAGCGTACCATTCTGCACGCTGACCGTTGGAGTTCCCAAACCAATGCTGGGATATGAGGAGGGTCAGGGTGTCGCAATTCAGAGTTCTTAAGAGGAGCTGAAGCCAAGGTTGTGCAACCTGACGGACTTGGGTCTCGGCTCCGCCACCTACGGTGGAGTAGGCTCCGTGCAATACTAGCAGCCGCCACCAAGTGCAACACTACTTTGCAAGTTCCAGATCGCAACACTGCAAGCCACCCTGATGCTGATGTGTCGTTAGTGCTTACGTCTGCGTTGTGTGGCGCGTGGCGCGTGGCGCATGGCACGTGGCCCTCATCGCTAACAGCTACTCATATCCCGTGTCAGGAGTCTGCTGTGTGAAAGGTAAATGTAGGCGGTCGACCAAGAGACTACAAGCCTTGCTCTTCTGCGAGCTGATACCTAGGAACTGTCGCATCGCGTTACTTTAGAGTAGGGCTAAAGGATATGTAGTATAGGACAGAGGATGTGTAGCAGCTTCGTGCCTAAGGGCTGTTGCAAGGCTAAGCTGCACTGTAGCTGCAACATGCTGGTAGTTAAGGCAAAAGAGGGTGCTGGGTTGCTTTTGTTGTTAGCTGCTTATTGTTCAGCCCGCTTAGCCCACGCAGCTTACCAACCCCGCTGAACGACGTTTAGTCGGCTGCCGCAGGCCGCACTGTCGAGGCACGTCCGAAACACCACGCAGTCGCAATACGACAGCCGTATAGCCATTCGCAAATTCTGCCGCAACAGCGTCAAGAGGGGAAGCCGATTTCACTAAGCACTGTATAGTATGCACATCCGCATTGTCTCAATGCATCCGCGTCACCAGGGCCCTCTATGGCACTGCTGGGTCCTTATCCTTTGCTGCCTTGCGGACTGTGCTCATCCGTACCACTTTAGCCTTTGGCTCTGCCACATACGCCTCTGGTACAGCACACTTACGCTCCCGGCTACCCTTCCCTTTGCCCCTACCGGCTGTCACTTTATCTTTCGCCGCACGGCTTTCTCGTGCCACCTCAAGGTCGTGTCAACCCATCACCTTTGCCTTGCCTAGGACGAATGATCTAGTCGATCGGCGAACTTTGGCTTCTTTGTTGATTTCGGACAAGAATTATTTTCGCTCTCGCAAGAGAGCACATTAGGCAAAGGATATTTGTGCCGCGCTTCCGAGATTTTGCACGTGCCTTCTTACGCGCTGCGTGCTCTAAAGTGTTCTGTTTTATAAGATTATACAGCGACGCGAGAGCCTGTGTCGTCACTAGCGTTACAGGCGTCTGAGGTTCTTTGTCTGAGAAGAAGAACATTTCTTTCGACTAGCAGAGGGAGATGTAAGGCCGAGCTGCGCTCTATCACTAGAAACGCCCCTTAACGAGTTGTAAGGGTGTAAAGTTTCGGACCTGTTCCTGTGCTGTGCTAGGAGCGAGAAATAACATGATCAAAGATTCGATCCTGAACAGATTTCGCTAGACCATACGAGAGGTGATCGCTCGCAAGCTGGCACTCGCACTCGGGATCAAATGCGCATACAATATCATTCTATACGTGTTAGATATGGGATCTAGAGACAGTAGAAGGTACTTACTTCGAGACAAATGTCTTGGAACTTGCCAGTCATTCCCAAATCGTCGTTGTAAGAGATTATAGTGCCGTTGCTTTCCATAGCCTGAACAGCGAAGAGTCCATACGCAGTCCGGTTGTCGGCTCGGCCCTGGCTATCGACGTTCGCCACTCTGCCAGGCAATCGATACGGATTGCCGACCATGATGACACTCTGAACAGATTCCAAGGTCTTGTTGTTCAACTGAGCGAGTGCTTGCTGTAATACAGTAGCACCCTGCGAATATCCAAACAAGAAATATTTTTGGTCCGGACAGTCTTGCAGACCATACTCGATGAGGTCAAGGAGATTTTGAACGCCCGAGGCTACGTTCTGGTCGAAATCGGCTGGGTACACCACAGCCTGATAGGCAGTGTCGGTGCTGTTGACAAGAAGATCGGAGATGACGTTCTGAAACATCAGTGACACGCCCTGTGGCTCGCCTGATCCACGGGCATCAATTAGCTCTAGAATCGGTATTAGTACGGATCTTTTGAGCAATGTTAAGACAAAAGTCCTACTGTATGCAGGGCATGGTCTGATCTGTTCCGGCACAGGAAGGTTGATACGAGGGATCGCGAGAAAAGCCGGGTCGCCACAACGGCAGCCTGACTCTGCTGAGACTAGGCATGCAGCAAAAAGGGCAGATAGGAACGAGGCGCGTGGCGAGATCATAGTGATGGGATTGTGGTGATGTAGATGTTCGAGAGACGAACACAACCTATTAGAAGTACTTTGACTCTAGAGAGCTTATAATAGCTCGTATAGGTTTGAGTATATCCTTGATCTCATCAAGTAGCCTTACTTGGCCATGATCTTAGCACGAGCCGAAAGCTTTGGCGAATACGATTAGCGTTCGATACGCGTATAATGGCACCTAGGCGTTTCACACCTTCGCGGTCCACAGGTTATGAGAAGGGAATTTCTCGCAAGCAGGCACTGCGCACCAGCCATCAATGAAGGGATATTGCGAGGACCGATGTGACAATCATTGTAGAGACAGATGCTAGAGAGTGTAGTGCGAATTGACGTTGTGGCTCGGATGCATGGCGACATTCAAAACTTCTATCGTGCGTTGGCGCACTTTTTCTTTTTGTATGACTTCTCTCCATTGCTCTTTTGCTAACAGTATTGGCTAATATGTTCATGTTTGCTGAGAGAACAAATGCAATGACGAGAAGTAGATTGACGGTTGTCAGGCGCTAGCGAACGCGCTGCTTCCGGAGTCGCGTGCCCACTCACCCAGCTATCAAACTTCAATCTGGTATTGTCAGACTAGCCATCAGAATTGCTGCAACGACCAAAGAGCCTCATAGAAAGAGCTGGTCTCTTCACGCCAATGCTACGGTAATCGACATCTTGGTTAACCTTCCGAGTTAGGTAAGTGGGGCAAGCGAACTGGCAAACCTCCCGTCTGCGCAAGCGTGCATAGTAGTGCATCGAATCGCCTGCAGAGCAGGGACAATCAACTTTACGGCGAGACAGGTCGGCACAGTATTAGTCAAGCAACCACCATTCGCACTCATCGCATCATTACAGTCGAGTATGGTTTTGACACAGACCCTCGCTTCGAGATATGGCGCTTCATCTAGCTACAACAGCTACCTACGCATACAAGCCTCTCGCTGCACGTCGCATCAGACTCCTCAAACTACCCAAAGACGTCGATTCTCAATGTCAACTAGCGCCTACTCTTGTAGATGTATCGTTGGATACGCCACCCGCATACGAAACGGTCTCGTACGTATGGGGCGAGCAGATCAAATCATGCCTTTTCAATTTCAGCTTCGGTACATCGGTTCCAGTCACTCCAACTTTACGCGCCACGATTGAGCGACTTCGCCCACATTGCCAGACGTGCTACCTTTGGGTCGACCAGCTATGCATCGACCAGGCTAGCATCCCCGACCGCAATCAGCAAGTAGCTCTTATGGGCGAGATTTACAGCAAGTGCCAACGCGTTATGATCTGGCTGGGACAAGACGTGCACCACTCCGGATACCTGGCATACTACTTCAACGACGGACTACCCCCAGAACTTCAGCGAAAGACAAATCATACGCGCGTTTCGTCCTCTCGGTTGGAACAACCTGATGCGCAATCCTTTGTCCGGTTCTTACTAGCACTGACGTGGTTTACCAGGGCGTGGGTGGTGCAAGAGGCTGTATTGCCTCCCAAAGCATCATGCTTCCTCGGCCCTTTCACCTTCTCCATCGAGGACCTCTGGGCCATTGTAGTCCATCACAGAGCTGCAGAACGTTACTTTGTACAAACGGAATACAGTAGTATACGCCAGCATCCCGGATATTTCGTGCTGAATGAGATCATGCGCTTGCGACAACAAGAGCGATACCGGAGTAAGAGAACGCACAACCCAGCAATTTGCTTCTACCACTCACTGTCCATCTTTGCTCCGAGATGCATGACGACGAGTCGGCATGATATCATCTATTCCTTCTTGGGATTACAGAGAGATCCCCGTGTGCGCATCATACCCGACTACGATCTGGACTGGAGCGTTGTGCCTGTGATAGCGACAAGCACAATTTGCGAGGCGACAGAGAGTTTGAATCTGTTTGGTATGTTGCACCGAAAAGCAGGTGATGAGAGTCGATGGCCGAACCTCCCGTCCTGGGTGCCAGATTGGTCGAGAAGACTAGAGGCTGAACCCATGGTGTTTCCTCGGAGCTGGATGTACTTCAAATCTGCTTCTGGAATGGCGCACAAAGCTAGGAAATCCAGTGGTCTACCCGCATCGCATCTGGTAGTCCGGGGAAAGATTATCAGCGAGGTGGCGCACAAGTTCCCTTTCTCCCGGGGCAGTGGAGAGCCGCTTGCGAATCGCCATGGATGGGATGTTTGCTCTTACCTCAACATACGGCGTTTACATCATCTCCTGAAGAAGACATGGCCAAACGATACGACAGCCCCGCCGATAGTGCGTCTTCTGAAAGTCATCTTGGCCGACGGCTCTTTCACGCTGAACCAGAAGCTACGAGAGCATTGCAGCGAAGGCTTGCTAGATTCTGATATGGACGAGTTGGCTGCAACGTACTGGTTCCTTGAGTCCCCGGTGAAACAAGAGGACACCGAGACGACGGATCGCCCCAAGATGGATGATGATGATATGGGGAAACGAGCGACTAGACTGCGTGACCATGCCCGTGTAGCCTGGGGAAGACAACTGATAGTCAGCCGCGATTGGAGACTAGGGCTTGCGCATATAACAGCCCACGAGGGAGACGTGATTTGTATTGTCCACGGTTCCAAAGTACCGCTCGTGTTGCGCCGCCTCCAGAGTGGACGTTACCGCTTGATAGGCCAGTGCTACTTTGAGAGCGTCATGCGCGGCGAAGAGGTCACTTGGGGTGAAGACGATGCAGATGAATTTATACTTGAATGAGCAATACTTGTTGGCCTTCCAAGACGTCTTCTGGCATTGAAACCTCCCTTAACCCTCGTCGGCAGCATCGCCCATTTTCTCCACATCAACCTCGCCAATAACGCCCTTCAACAACTCGGGCACAATTTGCGCGGCATCGCCCTGGAAGAACCAGTCGCCGTCGTACAGTCCGCCCGCAGGCACGTCATTAGAATCCATATTGATAATCGCCACGCGCGCGCCTTTACTGCGGGCCAAGTCGACGTAGCCCGCCGCGGGATAGACCTTCGCACTCGTGCCAATGACCATGATGAGATCGATACCCGCCCTGTCCGACACAAAGGCATCGACATCCTCCATGACCTTGTTGGGCAGGGCTTCCCCGAACCAAACGACGCCGGGACGGAGGAGGCCGCGTTGACACTTGGGGCAGTGGGGCAGGTGGTTGTAGTCCAATTCAGGAATGGCGACGTTGACGTCTGCAATGTCTAGTTCGCGGGCGGATGTAGTAGTGGGGTCGAGGGGTGCAGAGGAGCCGTCGTCGGCGGTGGGTATAGCGAGAGCGGGGACTATGGGATCGGCATAGTTATTCTTCTCGACATAATTGCAGAAGAAATCCGAGCACTTGACGTCGAAGAGGGAACCGTGCAGCAACTTGAGCTTCTCAGCTGGGTGCTGTGCGCGGGGCGATAGGCCTGGTTGGTTGGTAGTCGCATTAGCTATACACGCCATGACGATAGAAGGAGTCGGGGTACGATGCTTACCGTCGACATTCTGACTCAGCGTGATGAAGGCGTCCTTCTTCCTCGCTAGCTCTGCGAGGGCGTAGTGGGCGGGGTTGGGCTTGGCTTGGAGTGCCATGTGTCGTCTGTAGCTGTAGAATTGCCACACGAGCCCTGGGTCGCGCTCGAATGCGCCCGGCGTGGCCAGTGATGTCGCGTCATACGTCCTCCACAAGCCGCCAGCGCCTCTGAACGTCGGCAAGCCGGAAGAGGCCGACAGCCCTGCGCCCAAGAGGGCGAGGATGCGCGTTGACTTGGCGAGGTGCTGTTGGAAGCTTTCGAGGTCTTTTGGCGGGACGGCGCTGGGTTTGGCGGCCGTGGTGGCCATTCTGCGGATGAGGGTGGGGAGGATCACGGTGACGGGCGGGGGGATCACGGTGCCGAGGGGGGCGGTCTTCTTCTTCGCAGACTGTGTATGCGAAGAGAGGGACAGTTTAGTGGTGGTGATACTGGTGTCATGTATGCGTTGTTTGTCCGACACATCGGCTGGCAGAGATGGGGGCCTGGAGGTGGTTGCGGGGGAAGCTGCAAGGTACGACGTCAGCTCTCTTCCCCACTAACTGCAATTCCCGCTAGCTAGCGCTGCCCACGACGTCGGGAATCGCCATGGTCTCTCCGACGTCCGGTAAACACCATGACTGTTGGCCTGAGACTGCTCCGGCCCACGACGCGGTCAGGGTTATCTAGGGTTAGGTTGGAGGGACGACTGTGGAATTCAAGGACACAATGGAACACGACGTGGAATACAACGAGGAATGCGACGACGTATTCTGCCGTGCCAGCGTCTGAACTCCGATTTGGCCAACCGCTGCACGAAACGCATCCACACCTACTCAAGGCTGGGGAAGGTGATGACCACCCGGGGAAACTCTTGCCCGCTACTAACACGCCCCAACAGTGACGCCCGGCATCACCGCCCTCGAGTACCACCACCGCCGCTGCGCCCTCGCCAAAGAAATCCCCCCAAACTCGGCCGCCATATTCGCTGCAAACGACCTGAAATACGCTTCCGGCGCCGTCTTCTACAAATTCCACCAGGACCCCGATTTCCTCTATCTGACCGGCTTCAAGGAACAAGATGCGCTGGCCATTATCGAGAAACACGAGGGCGAGGATTTCACCTTCCACCTCTACGTGCGGCCCAAGGACGCGCGCGTCGAAGCCTGGGAAGGCCCTCGCTCTGGCGTCGACGCCGCAACCGATGTCTTCAATGCCGACGTCAGCGGCAGCATCGACGACCTCCCGCGCCTCCTCCCCGACATTGTAAACCGCGTCCAGGCAATCTACACCGACCTGCCCCAGTCCCGCGTCTCAAAGAACCTGTTATCGCGCTACCTCTCCGGTGCAGAACCCTCGCGTACGGGCGGCATCTACACCGTGTTCCGCGATGCGCCCGCTTCTATTCGGCCCCTCCGGCCCCTCGTCAACGAGCTCCGTCTGATCAAATCAGAAGCCGAGATCAAGAACATGAGGCACGCGGGTCAGCACTCTGGCCGCGCCATTACAGATGCGATGCGGCAGTCGTTTACCCGGGAAAAAGACTTGGATTCCTTCCTAGACTACTGGTTCAAGCAGGATGATTGCGATGGCCCGGCCTATGTCCCCGTCGTTGCGGGCGGCATCAACGCAAACACCATACACTACGTCTCCAACGACATGCGCCTGAACCCCAATGAACTCGTTCTCGTCGACGCGGGAGCGCAGTATGGTGGCTACGTTACAGACATAACGCGTACATGGCCTGTCTCAGGCAAATTCTCGCCAGCCCAACGCGATCTCTACAGTCTGCTGCTTGCCGTCCAACGTTCGTGCATCTCCCTCTGCCGCACAGACTCGCACTTTACTTTGGACAAACTACACCACACAGCTTCCAACTCGCTCGCTAGCGGGCTCAAAGATCTAGGCTTTGATATGACGAGCACTACAGACGCTATACAAACTCTCTTCCCCCACCACGTTGGTCATTATGTAGGGCTGGATGTACACGACAGTCCTGGTCTGAGTCGCAGCAGGAAATTCGAAAAGGGCATGTGTGTTACGGTTGAGCCGGGCATCTACGTGCCCGATGATGAGCGCTGGCCCAAGTGGGCGAGGGGAATGGGCATGCGGATTGAGGATAGTGTTTGTGTGGATGAGGAGAGTCCGTTTGTGCTTACGACGGAGGCGGTGAAGGAGGTTGTTGATATTGAGGCGTTGAAGTGAAGAGGGGGCGAGTTGAGGCGATAGACAAGTAAAGAGGGAGAGAGAGAGAGAGAGCTGAACCACACAAAAAGTGGATCCTGCAGTTTCCTCGTTCTGAGCTACTACTAAACTATGACATGGTCATGTTTCTTGTTTGTTCTTTCTCTGTTCCGCTCGTATCTTCCTTATTACTTACTTGAATACTCCTTCTCCTCCCCCTTCTCCTCCCATACCATTACCATTTTTTGGTTTACTTGCGTAACTCCCCCCATGTCTACATTAACCGAGCTCTTGGGTTTTTACTCGATACGATTGGTGTGCCAGCCAGCACACAAAAAGCGAATGTTCATAATAATACATGCAAACATTCTTCTTCTTCTGATTCTTCTCCTTCTGATTCTTCTTCTCCTTCTTCTTCTTTTCCTCCTTCCTGCATGTTGAGACCGCGATCTTGAGATATATATGCAACGATTCGACGACTTTTCATCAAAGTACAAGTTACTCGATAACAACAACCGGAGGCGTTGTGGCGGAGTGGTTATCGCGCAAGACTAGAAATCTTGTTCCTTCGGGAGCGTCAGTTCGAATCTGGCCAACGTCGTCTTTTTTTATTTGCTGAGTGAGCGGATGGGAAAAGAGGTGCTTCCGCTGCTCTATATTCGGGAGATTCTTTCTTTCTTTCTTTCTCCTTCTTCTTCTTTCCCTGTTCCATGTTCAATGTTTGGTTGCCTTCTCGTCTAATGTCCTTATTTCGTAAATGGCGCGTTCGATTTCGGTTACTAGTCCTGGTTGTCGCCGTTGTATGGGTTGTTTAGCTCTTATCCATCTTTGTTGCTGCGGTTCCTGAAATTGGAACCAAAGGCACAATTAAGCATCACTGTCAATATCTGAACATCGTAGCTGATAGCGGTGGTGAAAAGAAACCGGCAGCATCCCCTCCCCTCCCCTCTCCCCTCCTTTCCTTTCACCAGCTATGTGTGGATATCGTGCGTTATCGTTGTCGTCGTTATTATATCGCCCTAAAACCTCCGTGTCGCGCAACTTTTCACAACGCATGGAAATGGTAATTCCCCCACCCATCCAACTCATACCTGAACAGCTTCTCAGTCGGCTGATCGTTATCGGGCCACGGCAAATACTTTGGATCGACTTTGCCTTCAGCAGGCGGCCGGAGCACCATGATGACCTCATCGGGAAACGCATCCGCTATCTCGGCCCAAACAAACGGCTCGCTCGTCTTGACGATCGAGTAGATGAATTGGTAGGCGCGCGCCGCGAGCGCATTCGTGTCGCACATGGCGCGGAGTAACGAGACGAGTTGGCGGACGGCTTGGATCGAGGCGGCGGCTGCGTTGCGGAAGTGGTCGGGGCAGGATATGGCGATCATGAGGACGGCGAGTGCTTGCATGACTATTGTGAACAAGTAAGAAAACAAGGCGCTTAGTAAAGTGTGTGTGTGTGTGTGGAAAGACACAGGTGATTTCGAACTTACTGTTATGGACGATTGTCCACCACGGCCCTTTCTCATACAGACTCTTGATGTGAGACTCCGATGCTAGTAGCGAGGCAACGTCCTGTGCCGCTCGTACACACATATCCGCCACTGACTGATCGAGCGAATTGAAATCGTCGGTCCCTGCTTCAGAACACCGTTCGACGCGACGGAGTGAGGGACGAGTAGACAGTATCTTCAATCGGTAGTACTGAAGCTTAAGCAAGAATCCATCGCGCTGCTGCTGCTGCTGCTGCTGCTGCTGCCTGTTAACGGGATTGTTCCATTCCTGAGAATGGAGCTCGGGGAGGTGGTCGACTGCCCACTTGTCGAGGTCGCCGACGAGCGAGACGGTCGCTTGCTGCAGGTAGTCCCAAGACGGCGCCGATCTACGCTGCGTGTATAGGTTGGAGATGATTTGCTGCGTCAGCAGGTTCAAGTTTGTATCGGCGTCTAGAAAATCGAAATTGACTGTGCCGGTGGCGGCGCGTTGTTGTGTTTGTTGTTGGTTCGAAGCAAGGACGCCGGGGAGAGGCGTCGTAATGTCTTCATTGGGTATGATACTCGGCCGACCCGTAATCGAACTAAGCAGGCTTTCCAGGGAATGTAGGCTCCACCAGGTGCATATCATGCTTTGCCTTTGGGCAGCCGAGACGGTCTGTTCGTCGTGTTGGACGTGCAGTCCGAGCGAAAAGGCTGCTCGCATCGCTATGCCTACCATTACCCAGGCCCTGCCAACCACTCGTCAGCATACGGCGTATATTGATTAGAAACCGTTCCTTGGCGGAACAAAGCAAAAGTGCGCTCAATCCCAAACATATTGTAATACATACCGATTGACATGGCCGACAGTCATGTAGTACACAGCAAAGAGACCCGCAGCCTGCAAGCGTTCAGCGTCAGTCAGATGGGGAATTTAGCGCAACAGAACTTGCCTGCGTGGTAAGGAGATCTGGGATTGACAAGACGACAATGGTGTCATTTATACTAAGCAACTGAAACGCGCGCGAAAGGTAGATGACGTGGTCCAACTCGTCGGCTCGCCAGTCGGCCTGGATGAGGTGGGAGAACTTGGCGCCTATGGCGAAGACGAGGTTCACGAGCGCAAACCATTTCTCCGGGCAGTGTATCGCCTGGCCGTTGCGGACCAAAGTGTAGTACTGATGCAGTTGGTGTTCGATCGTTACTGGAAGGATGGGAAAGGAACTCTGGACGGTCTGGGTATAACATTGAAACAGAAGCGCTGCAGTTTGTTCTGGTGGTAGTTCAAAAGGATTCCCGCAGTTTGTGAGCTTGATACCTTCGTCGTCAAGATAGTAGTTGGTAAGAGAGATTGGTTGTTGAAGCTGAGTTGCGGGAATAGACGCGGGGGATGCATCGAAAGTTGGCGAAGGTGGCTGAGAGAGCTGCGTGGCGTTGTCACCTGGACCAACGAAGACGGTCTCGACAGCCTGCACTCTATTTCGGAGGCTCTGCAGCCATTGCACTTCGGATATCTGACCCAGGAAACCTGCTTCAACTACATCAGGCTGTTCGCCTCCTTCTTCATCGGCAGATTCTTCGGGTACAATGTCGTCCAGTCGTGGGAGTGGTGATTGGTCAGACGTGGGCGATGTCTCTGCTGCGATTGGCACGTGGCTAGACGGCGAAGCGAAAGGGTGCATGCGCGAGTGTTGTTGGTACTGGTGAGCAACGGATGTTCGTGAAGAAGAGGATATGGAAACAGGAGACTCGATGTCGTCATCTGACTTAGCGGTATTAATTACACTTGCGATTCATTGCCAGTAGGTGTATACTTACGTCCTGGAGGGCATCTTCGATTCTGCGCCTGTCCTCGTCGCTAACGCGCAGACTGAGGTCTTTCAAGACAGATACGAGGGCCTGGTTGCGATCTTTCGCACTGCAAAAAGGTCAAACCTGGAACTGTGCAGCAAGACAGGAAGACTGACGTTGCTAGACGATCTTTCCGGGGGCGTTCGTAAAGACATGTCTTGCCTGTCTTTTCGCAATAGTTGCAACGGGGAAGGCCGCCACTACATTTGATCTCTAGCGTACGAGTGTCAGACAGTGATCAGGCGCGCGTAACTTGGGCATGGGTGATGAAAACCCACTCCTTTTGTGGCAATTTCGACATGCTCGTTGTACTCTATCTCTATGTCGAGACTTGGGAGTTGTGGGTGGCGGGGCGCGTCGGGCTGGCAAGCGTGGAATGGCAACCTTGAACTGCGACCCATAGGGACCAGCAGTCGGGGGACCAGTTCGCCTGTCGTCTTGCATCGGGCCGCTCGCGGAAACTCACGCTGCGTGGTAAGGAAACAAGAATCATTTCAACGCATCTCGAATCGTGTTTATGCAAATATCTGCGTCATGAGAGATGAGGGATTGGGGACGGACACTGCGGCTTGGCGGGAGGACAGTTGAGGTGATTGGTCTCGGTGCAGAAGGCCGTACAGCCAGTGCTGAGCTTGTCCGCGCCTTTGCCCTAAGTCTCAACCTTGCGCCGCTATTACAGGGGGCAAGACAACGTTGCGCTACAACTTGTCGCAGTGTACATGCCAATCATGGCCTCTCGCTGTGGTTATCAAGGAGCTTCATCGACCTGCAAACTCCAAGATCCGCACGCACTAGTCATCGGGCCCCTCTGCCGTTGTCCCCCCTCTGCCGTTCTGCCGCATCGCATCTGGAGTCGCACAATGCGCCACTAGGGGCTTCGCCTTACCAATGCGATGATGTTCCATCGGTGCCCGTCCAAGTCGACATGGGATTCAGCCCTGCCATTGAGAGATTTCGATCCGGTTCGGCACATCCTGCTCGTGACGTTAGCACTGCAGTTCCACGCGCTGGTGATTGGTCAGCACTAGTCATTTCCAGCTCAAGTACGTAGCTCGATTCGAGATAACCTTCACCGTACTTTGCCGAGGTTTCTTGGTGGTCTCCCCTAGAGCTCGCCTAAGCACGCCGTCTTCGTGCCGTTTAGATTTACTGTTCCCACTCTAGACTGAGCGAGACGGGGACGTCAGCGAAAACGCTCACCATCTTAACACCATACCTACCTCTGTGAAACGGTGGAACATTGCAATAGATGTCGCATTACAAGGCATCGTTGAGGCATCGTTGAGGCTCTTTTCCTAGGAAGCAGATACCACAGACTCAAAAGGGAATAAGGGACGACTGTCACTCTCGAGCGGCGAAGAAGCGGCACGGTTGTGCAGTCGGGACTAGAAACACGTAGGTGCGCGTCGCCGGCAAGGTTAGACGCCCGTATCGTGCAAGGAATAGGATCAACCCTCTCCCGATGTGGTGAAGGAAGAGCGAAAAGGAAAGAAGGAAGCTAATGGATAAACTCAACACGTGATCTCAGAGGAACTCAGCACGGGTTTCGAGCAAAGGCAACGAGCTGAAGGCTGGGTCAAGGGTATCTCACGGCAATCCTGTCGAAGATCATGCGGGTGAGGTGTCCGTGTGCACGTGTGTGTTGCAAAGATGCGACATTGGTTGCTGCTTTACTAGCGTTTCGTACGAGAATGGCCTACCTGTCTTGTTCTTTTGGCCATCGAATATGCGATGTCGCAATTGCGAGGTGAGTGTTGTTTGTGTTGCGTTGATATAGGGTCTCACTAGCGTGGCCACGAAAGAGCAACGAATGGGATGGAATTTTTGGGAGAAAGGCATCTTTTCGATATGTGAAATCGGTTTTGGCACAAAACCATTCGGCCTAGGAATGATCGTGATTTTCGTATGAATATGCTCATTGGCTTCTTCCCCTCGCTCAGACATACTCCAGCCAAATCCCGCCAACGTCACTCTCTCCTTCTCCACCATCCAGTCTCTCCCGGGTACCTCCCATCTTTCCAGCCTTCGCAACTGTCACGAGAACGACATCTCCATACCAGAACCCCTGTTCTGCGATGCGCTTCCGCTCTTCCTCGTTCTTGGGCAAGCGTAGCACAATTTCCGCGCCACCCTCGAGCTTCTCAACTTGCTGCACGCGTCCAAGCAAGAAGCTGATTTCCCCGTAGTCTTCTCTCCCAGCATAACCGATGATGCTTTCGTACACAGTCTTTGTCTCGTCGAGCATAGCCTGATCCCGCACAATGATGCTGAATTGTCTGACCCCCAGCGCGCCACACGGATGTGCGGTCCTCGCCTTATCCAGCGGCACACGAACATTACGCGGCGTGACATCGTGGCAGAAGAACGGCACCTTGCTTCTGATACCCTGACCTCCCTTCTCTCCTTTAGGAAAGGTGACGGCCCACGCTACATCAACACCATCAGCTCTTTTCCTTCCGCCTTTGATCGGCTCTGAATAACTCTCTGTCATCCATGTGCGGTTCTTTTCGGGTGTAAGAGAATTTGTCAGGCACCAGTCTTTCCACCCTACGAAGTCGGCGTCTGGACCCCACCAATGGTCGCGTGCGAGGGACGGATTGATAAAGGAGATGAGCTCGATGTAGCATCCATCCGCGAGAAGTATCAAGACGTTCGATGTGGCGCCATCGGCGTGGAAGCCTCCAGGAGTAAGTGTGAAGTTGTCTGAGAAAAACGGTGGTACTTCGGGTAGTTGCGTGGTCGGGTTGGCAGGGACGAAGAGGATTAGATGGTCCAGACATTGCTGTAATGGAGCCATGGTGAAGTGGTCTACCCGGTGCGGTGGTAACTAGCTTGAGTATGGGAATAACGACGCGCTTTAATACCAAAGTATAGTCATGCGAGATCTTTCGTGCTGATATGTGAAAAGATAGTGCACGCACGTGGAGTCATCGCATTTGGCCGAAACGGAAGAGATCTACGGCGATTGCGGAGGGGGTACTTAGCTTCAGCCGTCATTGTGCTAGACCTGTGCATCACTTGCTGCTTCTTTGCCATGTTGTCGATAGCGACAAAAAGAGAGTGGAGCTCTCGAGACTTCGGAGTCTTCTTTGTTGTGGGTACAGAAGGATGAGGGCGCGTGGTTCGACAGGGAACAATGGTGGGGCGGATCAAGCCGCTTCACACCAGCCGGCTGCAGCAGCTATCCTCGCTTGCAGCAAAACAGTCTCGTTTCATGGCCATCGCCATTCCTATCGCATCAGCTGTGCATGCGGGCTTCGCGCATTTTGCCAATATCGCGTAATTGGCCACCATACGCACAACGCATGTAGGATCAATCAGTGTACGCCGTACGGTACCCTATTGGTGCTGCAGGCCGCCCAACATGCGTTCATTATCGTATCTAACTTCTGCGCTGAGCGGGGTCGTCTTACAATCGTTTGACTTTGCGATGGACGATGCGTCGTTGCGTTACGTGTTTTGAGCTTATGATTTGAAGACTGGAGGAAACGCGACAGTACAGCGATGCTCAGCGACTCAGATGACAACGTCGGCCGAATCGGCGCTGATGATGGTGACGCTCAAGCAGAGATCAGAGCACCGTCATCAGCCGTGAGGCCTCATACAGAAAACAAGGTCGATTCTTCGGAGGATGAAGTCGTTTGGAAAGGTCGATCGGCAGGTCGGACCACCCATCTTCCTACGAAGAGATCAATCAAAAGTCGAAATACCCCAGGCGCAACACCTTCGGTCGATCCGGCGTCTGACCATCGAGCGCGGCGGAGCGAGGCTGCGAAGAGCAGTATGACAACACCGAGTTACTCCTACCCATATTCGTCTGGGTTATACCAGCCGTATGCGCAGCCTTTTTGGCCACATTCGCCCACTTATCCATTAATCTACCCGTCGGCCTACCCGCAATTTTATGCTTCGCCTGAACCATACAAGGATGCTAATCCGACGATTCAAGATGGTCTGTCGCAGCAAAATACCCATCACGGAGAAACGTCGAAGTCCAGAAGTAGGAGTGTGATGTTTTCTCCCGAAATCGCAACAATGGGCGAAAAGCCGCAGAAGTCGAGCAAGATAACATCAGAACCGACGAAGAAGGGTAAATCCAAGGAGAAGACGAAGATACGACGGAAGTTTTCATCGCCGCCCTCTGGCCCCGCCCACCACATAATCAACAAAGTAGACTCAATCAAAGGCGAAGATACAGCGATCCTTGATCACTCCAACATACCTCGACCAATGGTGGAGGAGCAGTCGGGTGATTCTTCCTCGCACTTCTTGTATGAAGATCCTACGCCTCCGTCTTATAGCAGGGGGCGCGCTGCCAGTGTCACGCCAGCACATCACGAAATGGTTCTCTACAGAGACCCACGAGTCTCAAACCTTGCTGGAGCAGCTCAAGAGCACATGACCAATCCGCTGTACCCACTCCACTACAATGCCATACACAGCGAGCCTCTTGCCAGTCATATTGAACCCCATAGATTCTCTCTCTACCCCAAGGGCATTGACAGGATGTCTTTAGATCTTCCATTCGGGATACAGGAATCTGAAGGCTTAACGATATCTCCTGATTCAATGCCCATGACAACGCTGGTCAATCCACTACAGACAGATCGTTTGCAACGCCCCAGTCGGGATCCTAGCCTCAAATCCATTGATACTGATCATGCTGAAGGAACACAAGCGTCGCATACAACGGTCGAAGACATGCACAGATCGGCAAACGATATGATAGTCACGGAGTCTCTTTCGCGAAAAGCTTCACAGCTCGACCTTGCTGATGGACGGACTAGCAGGCGCGCAAAGCATCACGAGTTAGAGGGATTGATCATCGCGGTCACAGTCCAAAGCAACCATGCTACCTTTTACTCGCAATTTTCGATCCCATCACAGATGAAGTGGCCGAACCACATGAGTGATGTCGACAACTTGAGGATGGATGTTAAGAGAGCTGTCAGTGCAAAGAGGCTGAGGAGAAGGGATGGCTCATTCTCAATGGAGCTATACTGCGAAGAAGGGCCATCTTCCGGCAAAGAAAACCAAGATCATCAGATGCAATGGCTGTAAGAGACTGGAAGTTTACTCCATCAAGGACTAGCACTAACTCGGTATCCCAGTCACATGCAAACGCATCGCCTGAACCTTACCGACTTTGAGGTTTGTTGAGCCAAAATCTTATATTACCTCATACAAAGGACTAGCGCGAGAAACGACGCTGGAAGCGACAAAGCAGCTGACTGCCAAAACAGAACGCCTGCTTGAATGCTCCAGATATCAGTAGTAAAACACGTTTCACGATGCTGAGACTCTTTGAACAAATCCGAACCAAACATCAAAAACAGCAATTCGATGGGTACTGCATCGAACCGGGTACAGTATTACGTTACGATGGAATGTCTTCTGGCACCACTGACACTACGCAATCCTCTGCTATCTTTATGTGCTTTCCATATCTTTCGGTAGGAGCGCGCCAGCAGACCGTTAAGTCACATGAGGATGAGTACCCTACCAGAAGCATACTGCAAACTCTCTACCCTTACGAATCGACTGCATTACGTGAGGAGACTCCGAGCTTTTGCAGTGATTCACCTCAAGCGTTAGATCAAGTACTCTACGTTCCCCAATGTTGGGTCGTTATTCTTAACTCCGGTAAGCACGCATGTGACAAATCATCTTTTACTACGATCTGACTACGATAGATACGGTGATCTCGTGTTCTGAGCTTAAGCTCGATAACCTGATAGACGAATCAATAACAATTTCGCATCATAAGAAGTACTTCCCACCTGTCACTAGTCATCAAGGCGAGGTCCCGATACGCGTTGAAGACTACCTGATTGACGACGATGAGTCTGATGTTTCGAGCATGACGGGTGCCTTCGACTCTCCTCTGGGTGACGTGGAAACACCACTTTCGGTTGGAACAAGAGATGACACAGTACAACAATTCCCAAGTCATTCGATTCTCAACCCGACCTTAGGTCCCACGGTAAAAGAGTCGACCATTTCCGAAGACCACCCATCAGCTGCAGGAAGTCCTCGCACGCAAGTCAGTTTCGGAAGTCTCCAAATCGCTGTACCCAATGATGAGACCCATGAAAAGCGACTCCAGAGTTCGTCGCTTACTGAAGAGGAAGCCGCCGAAGCAGAAGCGTCTATTCTTGCGGTATTAGACACATTGAAAAGCCCACATATGACCATTGAGTACCTGGAAAGGTTTAACACGTACATCACGTACGTTCTCACTCTATGGGATCGCGCTCCACCTGGAGAGCAAAGGCGTCAATCTAGTGTCCTGTCACGGTTGCAGGATGGCATGTTTCGTGCCGAGGTACTGCACGGTATGTGTGACATAGAATCTCAGGATTCAGTTTTTTCGTCAAATCTCGAATATCGCGACGCTATGCTAAAGGCACTTGGGTTTGTGGAATCGTCTGTTCAGAAAGAGCTTGAGAGTCTTGGAGAAGTAGTTATGGACGCGATGACCCTTTTTCGGGGAATCTCAGACTCCAATACTAGAAACGCGATCAGAATAGCGAAGAAAGCACTTCGAGATCAAAGAGAAGTAGTTAAGCTAGAAACTTCGGAAAGGTTGCCGTTGTCAGATTCGACTTCCGGATCAGGTGTTGACAATGTCAAGCCATTCTTGACCTGGGTCTTGGTCGATGCGGAACTAGATCAGAAAGAAAACACGGAGCGTGTTGCGGCTGAATATCTTCACGGGATGATGCGAGAGATCGAACAGAGTCTGCTTCAGAGGAACGAACACTCTTATGATTTATGTAGAGAACTCACGATCTCTGACCTAGTGTATTCTTTGCAAGCTTCAACGCCGCAGAGATCTCCTATGACTAGTAGCTCTGTTGCTCCCGGTCACCAACGAACGCCGAGCCGACCAGCACCATGGATGGCTACGTTACAGGTCTTGACTTCTTTCGGAACCATGTTAGAGAATCGTCCGCCGGAGGATCCTGTCCTTAGCGCACAGAAGAACATGGTTCGCGCTGCAATCGATGAGCTGTTTGCATGCTTGAAACGTTTTGTTGGGCTATATGTTCCGTGTGATTACGCACACTCGGTTTGCTACAAGCTCTGGGGTTCAATGGCGCTTCTCAATAACGTATGTTCATTCTCCAATATTTTATTCTCGAAAATGGGTGGATGACTAATCTCCATCTATCACTAAGGCGTGGTTCTAATGTGGAAAAACAACTTTGGCCTCCATGTACGAATCATGTATACTAACATCACAAATAGAGTGCGACGCTACTGTTCAAGGAAGAGGAGCATCCGAGGCCGCTCTACATCATACGCCCACTTCAGACCAGCTTCTTACGAGACCGGAATATCAAAAAGCCAATGGTTCCAATTAGTTCTTGTCTTGAGTGTAAAGACGGACACACATACAAATCGCATCAAGAGGCTCTGACTCATCTCAACAAGGTCCATTTTCGGGACAGCTCGTCGAGACATCATCAAACAGCACGCCGTTATTTTGTGCGTACCGAAAACGATCTTCGTAATGAACGAGCCAGCAAGCAACACCTGTGGCTGCTGCAGATTTGTATACAGTATTTTGAAACGTTGGTCACACGAGGAGAAAAACTACATTTAGGTGTCGCCGAAGGGAAGCAGACCGACCGTCGCCGATATCAACTACCGGATGGTCTACTTGACTGCTTTGAAGAAACTGTGCTCTTCCTCATGCAAGCGACGACGTCCGTCGTTGCTATCAGAAACGAAGCAAGCATATGGAAACATACACCAGGGAAAGCAATTGACGACCTAGAAAGCCCTGCAGTGCAAAGTGCTCTCGAGGAACTAGGGAAGCTGGGAGAATCCGCGCAAGCTTCTATGACTCGGGCTGAGAAAGCAGTAGTTCTTGCTGGGGGCGAGGGAAGTACGGTCAGCATCGGCAATGCAGGACCGGAGTTTTTGGTCTCGATTGTTCTCCAAAATATTGCGAGGAGGCATCTTTTGACCGACGTAAAGATGGATGTCAATCAATTGTACCAGGAGTATACTTCGAAATTGGTAAGCGCATCACGCTGAAGGACTCCAAATTTCACTGCTTGCAGCAATCATGCATCTGGATATGGCTAACAACGACCCTTCAGGAATACCAGATCTACCAATTCCCCCGCAAACGTCTACTCAGAACGATTCACAAACTCCAAGAAGAGCTCACTGTAGTTCAGCTTGTAAACTCCTGGCAAACGAAAGCATTCGATAATTTCCTTCAGATTCTGGACCCCAAAACCTTCAAGCTCCCTACATCCGATCGCATTAGTCTGTTTTTGCCTGAGTCAGAGTGTATTAGCGAAAGCCTCAAATCGCTGCAAAGCAAGGCGGTGGAGCTCGAAGCCCTCAAGAAACGCACGCAATATCTCCGTGAGCAACTGAAACAGAGCGTGGAGATCTTAGAGGAGGACCATGGCAAAGCTATCTTGATGTTCACTATAATCACCACCATCTTCCTACCGCTGTTAGTGTCCTCCATCATATCATGCTTACCCAGGCTAACAGGTTCTAGCTCTTTCGTAAGCAGCCTTTTTGGGATGAACACATCTGATATTCGAAACATCGATAGAACGCAAGCTTTCTTCTGGGTTATAGCCATTCCATTCACTGCTATTATTGTTCTTGTTGCGCTCTTGTTAGCTTATCGCGGGGACAAATTGTACGATCTTGTCGTGCAGACAATTCACGAAGTGAAAGAGCGGCACATGAAGACTGGCTTGCCAATAGCACCTTTACCAGATGAAAGAGAATGGGGGAATCTATTTTCATTCGCCAGGCCATCTCGGGCTCTACGCAGTCGGAGCAATGTCGCGACTAACAGCATTGAGCTGAACACTTTGGCCTCCGCGAGCCGATCCGCCCTCGTAACATGAGTTTCAACGTCTCAGCATCCAATGTTACCAGTCTACAACGCTTTCATCAACCCTTCGTGCTTTACATTCCAACTTCCATCTTTCGGAAAGCCTGGCGCATCACCTTCCGATCCTTGCCAACCCGCTGCGCAATACGCGATCGCATACAGGAATCCTGCATTACCTGGCATGAACGGTGGTGGAGTACCTCCATCTCCACCGCGGATTGCGAAACCTGCGTCGTCAAACTTCCAATAGTCATACGCGGTAAGATGGTAAATCGCACGCTCAGGATTACCTATCCGCGCACTATTGATGGCGAGAACAGGACGTCCCCAGCCACGGATCTTGTCATCAGTCCATACTTTCCAGACTTTATCGGCGGTACGAAGGGCAACTTCGGGGTCTACGGCAGGCGTGTCGGGGAGGATACCTTGCATCATGATGAGACTGCGAGGATCGCCATTGAGCTTTGGATCTTCCCACCAAGAGCTGTTGAGTCCGTCGTAAACGGTATACAAGCCGTCGATTTGAGGTGGGAGAGCTAGTTTCGTGGCAACGCGAGTCCATTTCTCAGGCACAGGCTGGTGCAGTTTGCGTTTCCACTCCGCGGCGGCATCCAATCCGTAGCGCCAATACGCAATCTCGTATGCCAGGTTGCGTGTAGAATTTGGTGGTGTGTTCTCGGTCACGCCGTAGGTCGGCGGGCCAAGGTCGTATTTGCCAGTAGTTGCGTTGAGGCCGGGGTAGGATGCCATGTAGTCCGCAGTAGCTGTCAGCACTTTGTCCCACTTCTGAAGTGTCTCTCGTGTCGGATTCGCCTCGTATGCAAGATTCGCGAGATAGAACGGGTGAGGTTGCTGCCATATAAGCTGAGCATTGACATCGCCCGGTGAGCTGACACCGGTCTCAAGCTCTGTCATCTTTGGCCATCGCGCACCCTCCCATCCCATGTATTTTGCACGAGCCAGGGATGAGGGAAGAAGTGTCTTGTATAGCTCGGGGAAGATGTTGTCAAAGTACTTCTGACGACCCCATGTGGCCCAGTGCGCGTTGTGCCAGATTAACATCTCCATGTGGAACTTTCCATACCAGCCATTGTTCATTAGCCCGCTTTCTTGCGGCGATTGACCTTTGGCCGCGCTATTGACACGCACATGGTACTGTGACTTGATAATGCGGCGCTGGAGCTCAGTTGCGTTCGGATTGGAAGATGCGGTGAGGTCAACAAAGCCCCCTTCTTTCCAATACTTATTCCAGCCTTTTACATTCTTTTCTAAGACCTTTTGAGGTAGGCTGGGCACCTGTTGGTCAGGTGAGAAATGGGCAGTGAAAGAGATCGAAGAGCTCGCGGCCACTGTATCCAGGGTATAGCGGTGTGCTTTGATGGATGTTGAATTTGGGGGCTCATTGCGGGTCAACTTAAGAGGTGATCCTTTTGGCCATCGCAGATTAGCAAAGTACCGCACTTCTTGCAAGTCATGCTGGATATGCGCCGATGTGCGATCAGTTCCATCCTCCACCAGTATAGTGCTGTGATTAAGAGGGAAGTCGTATACGCCCGCAAAGACCTACAAACATTGTTAGTATATAGCCGAACTCCCGCAAAGGGGATAGATCGACACATACCTCGTATTTGTACTTGGTACTGTGTATCGGCGGATACGGGAAGTCCATTTCCACATGCAAATCGCCACTTTGAATAAGTTTTGACTCAATGACAAAAGCCACAGCATCAGACTCAAAGTCGCCTTGTGTAACCACCTTTACATCTTTGCCGTTGACCTTGAAACTTGATGTGATGGTGCCATCCCACAACTCTAGTTCTTGTCTGGATTCAGTGATGAGAGACTCGTTGAGTCTATCTCCTTGATAGCGGAGGCCAATACGACCCAGGTTCAGTCGGTTTGGGTTGCTAATTAGCCACTGAGTTGCTTGCTTGAGCTTGGGGTCTGGGATGTCGTAGTAGACTTCACGCCCATATGTCTCGCGCACAACGCCCTTGTAGTCTGAAGGTAACTCCCTGTATGCATTGGTTAGTGTTCGATGGCACGGCTTTGAAGTTCATACCCATTCGCAGGGAGCGAGTCGTTATGCCAGGCCCAGCTGGATAGCGTGTTGAACGGCAAGTATGTCTGCCTTGCAAGTCAATCAAGTGGTAGTAGCGGTAGCCAAACAAATGTACCTGCATCCCTGTGGTGTCGACATTGAAGGCAAAGTTGCCATTGCCAACCTGGAGAGGTGTTGTCTCATTGTCAATGAGGTCGGATCGCACGATATTGAACTGTGAGACCACGGAATGCCTGCTAAATTAGAAATGTATCTGCAGGACGGGTGGTGTATCAACCTATCAATATTCCCGTAGACCGCGCCTACCAGCAGTAGGGCGCAGCATACTCGTACGCTGTGGGAGTGCATCTTTGCTGTAGACCCTTTCTATGGTGTGGGTGCAGTGAGAGCTACGGCGTACTCGCAGAGGCATTTGTACCTGATGGCGAGACAGCATGTAGGATTGGATCAGCAGATGACCCCATGCCCGTGGAGCACCTTATTCCGGGGTAAATGTACACCGAGAAGGATCCCCAGGGCTATCATGGTTCGTGTTCGGTTAGCGATGGATTGACCCCAACCCTCCCCGCCTTTCGCGAAGCTTGATTAATTCCTCCAGTGGCGCAGGTCCGGAACTTCACACTCTCGCGACTAGTTGAGGGGCATTTCTAATGATGGAGCGCAGCTCGACCTACACATTCCATTTTGTTTGAAGTCAGCTTGCGAAACACGAATAAAGATATGGAAATGCAATCGCAATACTACACAAAGACAACAGGAACGACGTGGCACAGGGCAAGGTCAATGTCTACGAAATCCCTGCGAAGAACCTTATTTGCGAACTACTGGGTACCTGCGTCGACGGAAGAACCGGTGGAGAGATGTGCGAAGCGATACCTTGTCCCCCAGTATATTTGAACGAGCGTTTGACGTTGCAGAGATGCTATGGTGGTGGTGCGCAAGGGACTGCCACGGATTCGGCACGGAAGCATGGCCGTCAATTACGTGTTATGTCTCGCCTTCCGAAGCGAGCCGGCGTCAATGTCAACAAGACATGGCAATGGTCATCTACGGCATTGATCAAAACAGACTATCTTGACAAACATCGTTGTTTTGGATATATAAAGACCCTAGCTACCCTGATTCAACGCGCTATGCATGTAAATGTGGGGTCTCCACATAGTGTATCTTCCGACAGTGGCAGCTCGGTCCGTGCCATGAAAACATCCGACACCTGATCTACACCATTCAATCAAGACCAGCAATCCTGGATCTCTACCTATCTATTGACTTGCCTCTTTCTCTGGTGCATCAAATGACAGATGAAAGCAGCCTGCTCAGACGAGGTACAAAAAGGGCAAGAACACGACACGGGTTAATCCCACCCTCGACATGCCAAAACTGATAACAAGACTAACGCCATCTCCAGATGCATCAACTGCAAAGCAAAAAGACGCAAATGCGACGAAGCAAAACCCGCCTGCGGCCGCTGCAGCAGCAGGAGCGAAAAATGTGAATGGGCCTCTCGCCTCACCTTCCGGGCTGAAAACGCTCTAGGCGTCGAACCATCATCGCTGCATCGACCGCCGGGACGACCACCCGCGCGTTTTAGGATCAAAGACGTAACCGCAGAGGTTATACGCGACTACCAGCACTATGACCCAGGAGACGACCTCGATGTGTCGGATCAGTCTGATGGTCAGCAAGCAACTGCTCCCAACGACGTGTCGCCGTCTACGGTGCACGACCAGGGTACACCGTATCAGGAACATTTCAACTGGCAGCACAATCCGACTTTCCCGGCTGCAGAGCCTAATCTTACTAGTCTCCGGTCTACTGATTATGTTCCTTTGCCCACTCCAGGAGATCTCGAGTCCATCTGGCACAGTCCTGTCGCCACTACGTATCTAGACGATAGCGTATTCCTGCCAGGCTCAGCATATCTCGATGCGCATTCTACTTTTCGAAGCCACCTTATTCAAGAAGTAAGATCCAATGTGCCGACTCGACAAGCCACGCCTGATCCCACACGCATCGAGCACGTATGGGGAGTGGATGCGGACTACAACCCAGACACCGAGAGCCACATCACAGAGATCGCCACTACTCGCATCAATGCAGTGGAAGAAGAACAAACTCCCGCGAACCCCTCATCAGCCCCCCAGTTATCTCCAGAAGAAGAATTCGCACTTTGGAAAAATTGGTTCGATGAAGTCGCACCTTGGATCGATAAATTCGATCCTGAACGCCATTTCAGACATACACTTCCCGTTATAGCGCGGTCTCACGACCACTTGCGATACTCCATACTTGCGCTATCAGCACGACAGATGGAGCGGAAGAACAATAGTAAACACACGGAGAGGAGTTTATCTCTGTACCAAACAGCCATCCAACTCGTGTTGCCACAGCTACACACGCGCAGCACGCCTGTAATAGCATCATGTGTTGTGCTCTGTGTACTGGAGATGCTGAGCTCGTCGGCAAAAGCCTGGCACCAACATCTCGATGGGTGTGCACATCTGTTGGAAGCTGTGGGCATCAATGGCTTCTCAGGCGGTGTCAATCAAGCGCTCTTTTGGTGCTTCGCAAGGATGGATGTTTGTGGTGGGCTTATCGCATCTTCCAAAACGCTTATACCGGTGGAGCACTGGGCTGACGGTATGGATCTTGATGGTGATGTGGAGCGCTTCCGAGCGGACGGCGGATACAATGTCCACGCGTGCGAAGCGGTGTATCTTGTTGCGCAGATACTCGATTTACTGTCTTTCCATTCAAATCTAGCTGGGAGGGTTGGCGCCACACCGCCCACATGCGCAGACGCCGATGAAGCATACACAGCGCGATGGACTCGACTCTGGTCTCACGTCTCTGCATGGTACGCCGCCCGCCCCGCCGAAATGCTGCCCATATCTTGCTTCTCGACCTCCCCATCTTCTTTTCCGAAGATCCTGTATAGCAACCCGGCCGCCATGTCGGGTAACCAACTCCATCATACGGCGTGTATCTTGCTGCTCCGACACAAGCCTTCAGGCGTTACCGTCACACCCAAGCCCAACTCCATCTTCTGGCACGCGCGCCAAATCTGCGGGATATCGATTAGCAACGATGATCATGCTGCGTGGACGAATGCGATACAGCCGTTGTGGATTGCGGGCCAGTGGATGAGTCATGAGAGTGAGCAGAAGGCGATTTTGCAGCTGCTGGAGAAGATTGAGAAGCAATCAGGGTGGAGTACGAAGTGGAGGGCTGAGGATCTGAAGGAGTTTTGGGGATGAAGATGCAGTTGGTGACTACTGTAGCCTTGTTGGGTCAGCCTTGTCTATTCGCGCGCGCGTGATTGTGTAGTTTGAAAGGGTTCCACGCTGTCTGCTGATGCATGCGCATGTGTTGTCATAATACACAAGGCTTCCAATGAGTGTTGATGCAGTTGGATGCAAGAGCTCAGCCTTGGAGCTCAGCGCCTATTCTTGAAAGCCGCTCGTGTTCACGGGCTTGGCGAAAGTTTTTGGCCCCCCATGTTCAGCCTCATGGATTTGTGTATTGAGATAAAAGCTTCTTCGTTGCTGAGGATTGCGGTAGCAAATTATCCACAATCCGGCATCGATCTAGCCTTGCTGCAACCAGTATTTGTGAGTATGGGCGACAGCTTTGGTTACCTGCGAAATGTATCTGGAAGTCCTTTCCAATTTGCCGTGGTAGAGGCTTGCCAGGCCGACAATGTCAACCTCACTCAGGCTTGCAACCTAACGTTCAGCGCAAACCACCGACTTATTTTGATTGGCGATGTTGGGAGGGGGGCAATGGTGCCACAGCCTGGGATAGCTGGCATTGGTGTAAGTTGAGAAGGATATCAGTCGATGTAGCTCTAACAATGACAGATATTGCTGCTGAAAAACTCGTGTTTGTCACTGGAGAGAATGTATGTGCGTTGCTCAGAAGTCTATAAATGTCCACGGTACCTGAGTGGAGGGTTGTTTTCGCGTCGTCTGGTAAAGCGGTGTTCACAATGGTGGTGGAGTGTTGAAGCGCGACGCGATGACGGCAGGTGCACGGACGTGTCGGGCGCGGCGTTGCTGACTACTACTTGGTTGCTCCATCATCATCACCGGTCGACACTCGTCGAAGCTGGTCGAAGGCGAACACTTAGCTTCTCCCTTATAGACACGAATTACGACTCCAAGGGCACCACTTGTCTTTTAGAAGGATCACGATAACGCCCCGCGCTGGTCGAACGCTGCCTTTGCTGGCCTCGTCGACATTCACAATCACAATCATTGCGCGATACATGCACGACTAATCTAATACTCTCTTCGCAGTCTGGCCAACTAGTACCAACCTCGGATACAACGAGAGTACACCCTCACAAGGACTCCATCTGTTCACTTCCCGATTCGTCGTCTCGAAATCGCCTCACTCGACGGGCCCCGCCACCATGTTCACAAGTTTCACCGGCAACACGCGAAAGGCGCGTCAGGTGAACCTCGGCGGAAAGAAGACAAACCCCTTCGGTCCTCCCGGCTCCGGCGCCGGATCCCAAGCCGCCCTCGACCGCGCACAACAAGACCGGGTGCAACGACAGCGGGAACGAGATACGCTGAATGCGGCCAAGCGGATACAGAAGGTATGGCGGGGTCACTCAGGCAGGAGAGATATGGCCGACGAGCTACGGGGGGCATGGGATCGGGCAGAAGAGTCGGGCGGCTCTTCGCATACCGTGGCATACAGCTCCGAGGACGAAGCCCTGGCCCAGCTACAACGGCTGCTCCGCTTTGCTTCCTCACGGAGTGATGACGATCTGAGACGGATACAACACTATGCATCGCGACAGATGGAAGCAGTCAAGAAGCTGGGCATTGCTTCGAGCGGACCATGGCCGTGGGCATATTTGAGGCTGCAGCGGATATTGCTCGTCGCTATAGAACGGCAGCTTCAGAAGACCTCGACAGTGCAATGGCAACAGATTAGCCCCTCTGTGGTTGTGTTACACTTCCTCGCAGACCAGATACCCGCCGAAACGTCCCAAAACGCCCAAAACTACTACCGCGCCCTCGCGCACGTCGTGTCCACATTTACCTCAATACTTGAAGCGCAAAGTGACGGATCAGACATGAGCGAAATCATAGCAAGGGCAGCTATCTCGCCAATGAAGCGGGTAACCGGATATACACTAGACGCTTACGAAGCCTTTGGCATACATTTCTTGACTCTCCCGCTACTAGCATCAGACTCGACATCACCGTGCCTACACAAGTTCCGCGACTCGCTCGCCGACTCAATCAACTACAAATTACTCGCCAACGCATTGGCAACTCTCTCCAAGAGGGCAGGACTGCAAAGCAAAGCCGAATTGAAGAGCACGTCAAGTCGACTGCGTTTGCTGGGAAACTTCATCTACTTTCACCGCTACGCTCATAACTTTGACACACCTGAAGCGTACGCTATCCACAAAGATTTCGTAGCCGTAGTCTCCGTTCTATTGAACTCTTTACCAGTCAACATCGTTGATGATGGTCATCCAATCGCCGAGCTTTCGGAAGATGGCATCGAACAAGACTCCGAATCAGTGTCTGGTTTCTTGAAAGAGCAAGTCGGCTCGCTGGTGCACCAGGAGGGCATTGGTAGTCTTCTAGCCGGATCTTCGCAGTCAGCCGAAGCTTCGGATGATGAGAAGATTGATGAAGCACGCCAGCTCGCAAACTACGCCCTCGCATTACTTCGATTCTTCCCCCGTCGAGGTGACGAAATACGGATGTGGCTGTACATTGGTCCATCGGAAGCATCTGAAAAGAGTACAAAGAAGCTTCCGGCGATCAGGTACTTCTGGGAGGCGTCAAAACGATCATCAGTCTTCAGCACAATCTTCAAGGACTCCAGGGCAGCTATTGGACTTTTGAAGCCAAAGTCATCGAACATGAACGGATCCGACCGCCCGGGAACGTCGGGACTGACACATCACGGTTTCTGGCAGCCAGCGCAGCAGCAAGTCGACCGCGATGCAACCACTACCGATGAGTGGCGGGTTATTCTTGTGTTCTTGGAACTATACACCTTTGTGCTTAAAGTCACCGATGATGAGGAGTTCTTCACGTCTGGACAAAAGGACGTATACTCTGGTCAAATCCGCGACAGTGGCTTACCCCTGACTGAAGTAAAGGATCTAACAACCTTCCTCAAGAACCTGGGTTTCACACTTTACTTCAACGCAGTAGACATTACAAATTCAGACGAGGACACTAGAAGCAATGGTACAAGTCTCAACTACTTCAATCCGCAAGTAATGGACAGCCAAGCCCAAAAAGAGCATGCTGAGCCATCGATAGGTGGTGTCGCAGGCTTGAGGATCGATTACGTGAAAGGTCTAGTCACTGGATTGCTCCGTATGGTGTACGAACGGGACTCGCGACGCAAGTTCCTGCCTGCAGACCACTGGTTGATGGTTTCGCGGTTTGATATGACTGGATTCATTCCTGCCGTAGTCGAAGAGGAGGAATCGCGACATAAGATCCAAGAGGAAGACGCAGACGATCTCGATGATCTGGAAGAAGAGGAGTTTGATGATACGCCACAGCTCATTGGCACTAGTCGAACGCAACAACAACGACGCTTGGAGAAGCTACAACGGCAGCAGCGCAAGGCTTCACGCAGACGGTACTTGCAAGCGGTGGCGCCTCGTCTCGAAATTTTGCAAAATATGCCCTTCTTTATACCCTTTACCACTCGAGTCCAGATCTTCCGCGAGTTTGTCAAACTAGACATGATCAAACGAAGAGGGTCTGCGGATCCAGAATTCTGGCGATTCAGAACGATGCAGCAGCCAAACGCACGAAGTCAGTTGGAGAAACACACTGCAAGGATCAGGAGAGAGAACGAGTTCGATGATGCTTTTGAGCAGTTTTATGAGTTGGGCCAAGGCTTGAAGGAGCCGATCCAGATTACCTTTATGGATCAGTTTGGCGCTCCCGAAGCTGGTATCGACGGCGGCGGAGTCACCAAGGAGTTTCTAACCAGCGTTACCAGCCGAGCGTTCATGCCAACAGACTACATTGACATGTTTGTCGAAAATGACCAGCACCTCCTTTACCCTAATCCCGCCGCCCTCGAAGAACACAAAGAAGCCCTCCGCCAAGCCGGCATCCGTGAAGGCTCCCAGGAATACCGCGCACAAATTACCGAGCTCCTCCAACGCTACGAGTTCCTCGGCCGCATCATCGGCAAATGTCTTTATGAAGGTATCTTGGTCGACGTCAACTTCGCCCCCTTCTTCCTCCGCAAATGGGCTCTAACAGGCGGCACGGGCTCCGCCCCCAACGAATCTGGCTACCGCCCCACGCTCAACGATCTCCGTGACCTAGACGAAGAACTCTACCAAGGCCTGCACAAGCTCAAAACCTACCCCGGCGACGTCGAAGATTTCTCCCTCAACTTCACCGTCACCGACACGGTTGTCGTTGACCACACAACCTCACCCAAGAAGACCAAAGCCATAACCAAGGACCTGAAAGCCGATGGCTCCAACACCCCCGTCACTAATCAAAACCGTCTTGTCTACATTAGCTACATGGCGCGTCACCGCCTGCAAAACCAACCGTACGCCCAAACTGCCGCCTTCCTGCGTGGTCTAAGTACAATGATCCAACCCTCGTGGCTCTCCATGTTCAACGCGTCTGAACTCCAAACCCTCATCTCAGGAACCCGCACACAAATCGACATTGACGACCTACGCCGCAACACCCTTTACGGCGGCACCTATGTAATCGGCGATGACGGACTCGAACACCCCACCATCCAACTCTTCTGGAAGTGCATGGTTGAAATGAGTGACGATGAACGACGGGCTGTGCTCAAGTTTGTGACGAGTACGCCGAGGGCGCCGTTGTTGGGGTTTGGGACGCTGAATCCGAGGTTTAGTATTAGGGATGCGGGGAGAGATCAGAGTAGATTGCCGAGTACGAGTACGTGTGTTAATCTTTTGAAGTTGCCAATGTATGAGGATGAGGAGACGCTCAAGGAGAAGCTTTTGTATAGCGTCTTTTCGGGCGCTGGGTTCGATTTGAGCTAGGTTGGAGTGTGTGTGTGGTGGACTGGGAGATGCGTACAAGTAGGGTCGCAGGGAGGAAGACTGCCGTCTCTATGAAGGAGAAGGATATTTTGTACAGATTATTCTGACGATCAGACTTACAAATAAGCGCCCTTTTTCTTGCACACGTGGTTGTACTCTAAATCTTACGGATACCTAGCTTTCTCATGACTTGATAAGATGACCTTGCCTTATTTCTTAGAAGATTTAACCGCCTCGGCATAACAGGCGAGACGTTCAGGGTACGTTTTTTGAACTAGGAGACTAATCGGATCAATACAATATGCCACATAGATCGGGAGATCAAACTCCACTTGTGCCACGGCCCTTGACGCGACTAGTCTTGCTAGTGTGCAGCCGTTAGGTTAGCTTACCCTTGATTGTTGCATCCGCCTCTTTGAACAAGTTGACGTACTAACAGGCGCCCGTTGTGGTCTGTGTGGAAGGGCGCCAGCAAGATTATCCGGGGATCATTGCTAGTAGCGAAGTTGTGTGTCGCAATTGACAATTTAGGTAATTTAATCCGTAGCGCAACAACAAAACTCTAGATACGAATAGGTGCACATCACCGTCAACTACAAGACTAGTAACGCACTTGCCCATACACACTGGAAAGCCGACATTTACTACTGCCCACAGTCTAGAGTAGCGGTGCGTTTTAATTATTTCTTAATGTTCGTACGGTCCCATTGTACATGCACATGCAGTACTTAGCAACGAGCTTCACTCCCACACTTTTCCCTTTGAGATGGCGTCATCCCTCAAAGTTTGATTAGAGGCGGTAGTCGGCCTTTTTGCAATCTATGGGTCGTCGGCGCTATGACGCCTTAGCCCTTCATGCCCGCGTTGTACGACGTCGGTCTAAGCTTTCTGTGCCAAGGAATCATCCGCACGATCATGTACGCTGCCCCCTTCTCACGGTTGGGAATAGACGAATCCCGGAGTAAGGGTCCAGTAGACAAAGGATTGTGTAGCTTGTTGGAACAACTCCCCAGCTCTGGGGTTCTTATCTGGGTTGCGTCGCTCAACGAGACTACGTAGAAGAGACAGTGCAAGAAGGATCGACAAGTTTGTACGAAAGGCCCGTTATATATTTCTCCCTCTCCTTCGTGTTCATGTTTGGTAGGGAGAAATACGATGTGCACGTCCAGCCGCAGGTTATATCACGCCGTTCCTAAAATAAACACGCCTCCTGCGTGATACCATGTCTATCCTGATGATATCGCTGACGTCGGATACGAGGTACAGTGTTGTCTTTGTACATATAAGGCCTTACTTCTCTGCTTTCCAATAAAAATCACTCAAGCTCTCCATTCGCCAAGCACAGTCGTTACTACCACCCACCCACCCACACACACCAACAAACCACCTTACTTCGACAACAAAACAATCACCATGCGCTTCACCATCGCCACCATGACCGCCATGGCCGCCTCTGCCAGTGCCACCGTACTCCCGCGCTCCGACCTCGGCGGCTGGAACGTATCCTACGTGCAGAGCGGCGGAGCCGACAGAACACACTCGGAGCACGTGTACGGCGTGTACGCCAACGCGGAGCTCGCGGACAATATTGCCGTCGACTGCCTCTCGCAGACGACGAGCGATGGAAAGGTTTTCTCGGGAAACGATCCTACGACCCTGACCTGCACTCCTGCGTCGTTTAGCTACGTGTACAACACCGCTGGTATGTGTGGCATTCTCCTTCCAAATTCCTTTCTTTCGAGTCGTTGAGCGTCGAGTTGTGCGTGTGTGCGTGCTCGTTTTTTTATTGTCGTTGTCGGTTTGCTGACTAGAACTTGCGATTAGATTCTACTTTGACCCTTACGCAGACTGTGGAGCTCAGCGATACTAATGTTACTGTTATGGGTACCTCGCAGCCCTTTACTACTAAGCTCGATCCTATTCGCGGAAAGGGTGGATCCGCTCACAACATCACTTTCCAGGCTACGACTGGTGTGGCGTAGATGGCTTGATCGGAGACTTGCAAAGCTTTGCGGGAAGGGAGGTAAAGAACCAGACAGATTATGTCGGGGGCCAACAGTCGGAATGTACATCTAAAGGGGAGAAAAGTTGCACCATCATAGAAGCCAATATCATCAAAGACAGAGACGAAGGAAGTTAATAACTTGACAAGATTTTGGAATTGAGTTCCCCATCTGCAGTTGCTCTTTCTCTTTTTGAGACGTGAGGTTTTTCACTTGCTTGACGTCGAAATCTATGTAGATATCGTGAGGACCGATGTGACAATCATTGTAGAGACCGATGCTAGAGAGTGTAGTGCGAATCGACGTTGTAGCTTAAATATTTAGCGATATTTGAAACTTCTATTGTAGGTTAGCGCAGTTGTCGAAAGATGATTGTATCAATCTCGGTCGAGGTTCTTTTCTAGTGACGACTCGGTGGCTTGGGTTGAATATTTCATGGTTGTTGAAAGCAGTGCTGGATAGATGCTGAGAATGAGAGTATCGACTATGCGCAACGCATAGCTGCCGCGCATCTGTGCGAGAATGCGTGCTATCGCTGCTCCCAGCTGCAAACAAGGTGCAGGGAATCATTTACACTTGTTACTATACTTTTATTGTTGGTTGATATGGAAGCCACAAGACTCCTTTTCTTTGATGATACAGCTAATCTGTTTGCTAATTGCCATACGGACATCGCGATCTCCGAATTTCCATGCCATGATTTTGCGAAATGTTGCCACGAACTGCAAGTGAAGGGGTTGCAACGCCGATATCAAAGGTGTTGTAGAGGTGTCGCAGACGTGTTGCTGGTGCTGTACAGACGAGAGAGACCCCACGCTCGGCAAACCTGCCTCGGACTCTGGTGGGGTGGTGAAAGAACGTTAGTGGGGCAGAGCTCGCGACGTCATGTTCGAGCTGGGCAAGCTCCACCGACCATCTGTACATGCGGACTGCTGTCGTCCGAAGAAATTCATAAGAACCCCGAGTCCGTATTGCGCGCTTAGAGAATAACAAGAAGTTCTCTGTACATACGCATCAAGCTTCACCACATTAGCAACCCAGTCAGAATGCCAGGAGACGGAGATGACCGCGCTGCGCTAGTCAACCGACAGCTGCCAGAGATGACACTGTCAACAGCAGACAACCCTCTCACAGCGCCCAAACCACCCCCACACGACCTTTCTACCGCACAAAGAGCTCAGTATAGGTTCCAGGTCAAGGGAAACGCAGTTAGTACGTGAACATCTGCAGGGTAGCATACTCGCCTGTCCCACCCCATGCACTATACACTTGAACGTCCAGCTAACCAATTATGTCCTAGTCACTGGTGGCGCAGGTACACTTGCACTTGAAGCCGCGCAGGCGCTCCTCGAACATGGTGCTACAGGCTTGGCCCTATGGGACATGAACCCGGATCAAGCATTCGAAAGCGTCAAGAAACTCCATGCCAAGTTTCCCCACGCGCGCATCATGACCGAAGCCGTCGATGTGCGCGACGAGAAAGCCATTGCATCGGCCGTAGAAAGCTCCGTCAAGGTGCTGGGCAGTATAGACATGCTATGCTGCTTTGCGGGCGTCGTAGGCTGCACACACGCCATAGAAATGGCTGCCGACGAATGGCGGCGCACACACGACATCAATCTCACAGGCTCTTTTCTCTGCGCGCAGGCTGTTGCGAAGCAATTGCGCGCTCAAGGGACTGGAGGGAGCATCACCTTTACTGCGAGTATTTCTGCGCATCATACAAACTACCCACAGCCGCAATGTGCATACAACTCGTCCAAGACAGCGTTGCTATCGCTGGCAAAGAGCTTGGCTGCTGAGTGGAGTAGCTTTGGCATCAGAGTTAACTGCTTGAGCCCAGGCTACATGGACACGATACTTAACGACGGTGATGGTTTGATTAGAGCGCGCAAGAGCTGGAATGAGAGGAATCCGATGGGCCGTATGGGTCATCCGTGGGAACTGACAGGGCCCCTGGTGTTGCTATGTAGTAACGCGGGACGGTATATAAATGGAACAGACATTATCGTGGACGGAGGAGCCATGGTGTTCTGATCGAAGGAAACATTGGCTCATCCCTCAGACAATTATTAATCATTATAACTGTTCTATCAAATCAAGTCTGTCGAACCAAGCAAGATAGTCTTGAGGACGTGGTCATTCCTGACCGTGTAGCACTAAGCGGCGCGAAGTTGCCTGACCGGAGCACTTTGCTCTCAATAAAAGGCCTCCCTACTGTGGAGTCAAAATGGACTGACATTTCTTTTAGTCTAATGGTCATCGAAGCTTATAATGTTCTCCGACAACTGTCACTGGGCGCTTCATCCAACATGAGCTACCCTAATGAAATGGCATGGCAACAAGCGTACGAAACGCTCAGGGCACATTTCGAGATTGAGTATTTGCAACACTGCGACCAGAATATTCCCATACAACGCATGGCGTATCTTATTGGCAAGCTAATTCCCAGCAAATTCGACTTCGTCACTCGCCAGATATGGCTACGACACCACGCTTCGACGCTTGCCACTACGCCTTCGTCTCTACGAACAAACAAGGCGCGTCAAGGAACAGAAAGAGACCTCCTTGACACGTCCAAAACCCTAGGAATCAGCAACCACTTCCAAGTCCTAGCGCGGACAGGGCGTGGATGTTGGCAAATTCTTGCCTTGCAAATGGATTCCTTTATGAGGCAGGCTCGAATTGGACGCTCTTGAGCAGACTGAGGGAGAAGGCAATGGAATCGAGGGATTCCGCATCAGCAGGAGGCAAAGGAGACGTCGTCATGGGAATTGAGCCAGGGCAGAGCTTTGATGTGGAGACGGCGACCACTGTTAAGATAAGTGATCTACTTACGAAGCACAACTGCCCTCAATTATGGACCCAATTACGAATACATTTAACTATCTATATTGAGACTCAACGATGGACAATACAGATTTGGGGAGCTTCTGAGCTCTGGGTTCCTGGATCTCTGACATGTGCAATTCTACAATAAACTTAGTCTATAATTATACATCCGAATGTCTCTATAAATTGATCGGTCATTTCGGAAAGATGTAATAAATCGAGGTAAAAACATGACAACATATCCTTGGTGTGATTGCAGCCAAAGCTGTTACCATGTCAGAAGAGGACATTGAACTTCCAGCCGACTTTGTAGATTCTCGCCCCAAACACGAACGCTGTGCCTGCGATGCAGAGAACACCAGAGAATACTTTGACTCCCGTCCATCTTCCATTCTCCCTGTCCAGGATCGCGCCAGCAATAGGCGACGTCGTTAACGCTCCAATGCTGTTGACGAAGAACACCAGTCCCGTCCTGAATCCAATTTGCTCTATTGGAGAAATTTGTGCTACCAGACCCGCTATCAGGGAGACATAAGCGCCGGAGAAGAATCCATATAGAACTGAATACGCGATATGTGCAGCATCGTTTCTGCCGGATGGAAGCCACAAGGCTAAGGTACTTGTTCCAGTGGCGAACGCAGCCAAGGTGAAGACGTTGTATTTTCCGATACGGTCGGCTAGATATCCGGTGAGGAGACGACCAAAGAGACTGTGTGCAAAGCCACCATCAGCCAATGCTTGCAGGAAAGAAATGGAAATTTGGGGGCGTACCTAGCAGCATTGAACATGGCGACGAGGTATTGTGCTATACCTCGGCTCATCCCATTGGCCGTAGCTTCCACCACAAAGTAGTTGATGGGAATAAACATGCCGAATGTGAATAAACACAGTCCGGCGTTGAGAGCAAGGAATTCTGGCTCATGGAATGGCGCGACAAGTTGTTTTCTGGTGACAACCTGCCGATTGGGAGGAAATCGAGACTTGACAGTCAAGCAAGCGAGAATAAGCAAGAAGAGGATCAGAAAAGCAGCGATACGCAATGTCCATGCAAAACCCACGGACGGAATGAGGCGACTAGTCATGATGGGAAAGACGATGCCGCCGACGCTAGACCCAGTGGAAAGGATGCCATAGGCTATACCACGTTTCTTATCGAACCAGCTGGCGATGGCATTGAGAGCTTCAGTAGGGTTAGAAACCGTGACTCTCATCATGATTTTCACAAACTGAGACACTGACCTGGCTGGAATATAAGTGAAACGCCGATAGCACTACAGACACTTTGAGAAAGCATGATTTGATAGTACTTTGTCGAGATGGACGTCATCATCAATCCGAAGACATGGAGGAAGGACCCAACGAATATCAGGTATCGTGGCCCGTAACGATCGTAAAGTCTGCCAACGATTGGACCCTAAATGACGATCAGAATCCTGTAGGTAGTCCGCTTGGATATGCATACTTACCATAGCGAACATGAAGAATATCTGCAAGGAGGGGATCCAGGATATTGTTCCTGGCGAATATTGCTGCAGAAGCTCTGTTTGATAGTACTGCTGAAAAGTGCCAATGCCTAGAAGAGACGCGTTGTCAGCGTCCAGAAGCGAGAGAGCAGTGTAATCAAATGAACATACTGTTGTTCCACCCGAAACTGCAGAAGGAGGTACACCAGGCACCAAACACTACTAGCCACGCATTCAGACCACCATCTGGAGCCTTACTCGAAGTCGATGCTAAGATAGGACCGGAGTTGGCCTTTTCGTACGACTCGCCCACTTGTGGAGTCTGACTGATCCCCGGAGGAATCGCTTTGTGTAAGTCGAATGTGCTGGTGATGCTGAAATTGTGAATAGACATGCTGAACTGCGAACTTGGTCAAATGCTGGGAGTCCCGATCTTACACACAAATAAAACTTCCCAGAGCTACGGCGTCGATATTGTTGTTGATGTCGTCGTTAGTAGCGTAGCTTTTATAAGACAAGTCCAAGCTCACTTGCTGGTCCGTCGGAAACTTTACCATGGCCGGAACAAAACATTTTGTGATGCCTTATCTCGGCTCGGGCAGGATTGTGTTGTATAGCATATAGTTGGTAAGCCAGCGTCGCAGAGCACAGCCAATCAAGTGGAGCCACTGTGATATGGCAGACATGCATTCTCTTCGGCGCGGCGAACATTGCATCGCCGAGACAGCGCTTCTTGGACCACAAGCCAGTTTCAATTCCCAGTTAGGTTCCGCATGTGCCGCCACTGGATCTAGGTAATGTGATCGGATGCGTCTAGTCCCGCAGCTTTTGCTTGGCATGGAGTAACTTTCCTAAACAAGACTAAGACTGAAGGATATGTGGGTATCAAGTAAGCAACTCAATCTAGTGATCACTCGCTACCAGTTCTTTACCAAAGCTCTTCGAATGGCTACAGTGGCACACGGTTGCGGAGTGTACGACATCTCCGAACACCGAATACGGGCCGAATACGGAGTGTATCTGTCTGTATGATGCATGACGGATGTTTACTCTGGGACATTGATATGTTGATGGTTATAAAAAGATAGGCCATATCGCTGATGAGTTCAGCTGTCTTCTGGCTATCATAAAAACACAATCTCAGAGCGCATATAAAGTCTGCACAATGGCAACCATTCACGGCTCCTACGAAGACCGCTTCAAGGCGGTGGCACTGCTGCTACAGGCAAGCATCACAGACGGCAAGGATATAGGCGCTTCCATCTTCGTGAATATTAACGGCAAGGACGTTGTTGATATCTGGGGTGGCTACGTAGATGAGACGCGCACGCGCGAATGGCAAGAAGATACCCTCGTCAACGTCTGGTCAACTACGAAAACCGTTACCAGTCTCGCAGCACTTATTTGCATCGACCGAGGCCTCCTAGACCCGTTCGAAAAGGTCGCAAAGTACTGGCCCGAGTTCGCCGTGAACGGAAAACAAGATATCGAAGTACGACATTTGCTGAGCCATGCGTCTGGCCTGTGCAGCTGGGCGCAGAAGGTAAAAAAATGTCCATGAACGAACTGCATGTGAGATATACACTGACTTTGTACACCTAAAATTAGGTTTCAGTACAGGACATCTGCAATTTGGACAAGGCAGTAAAGATGCTTGAGCAACAGGCGCCAATGTTCAAACCAGGCAGTGCGTCTGGATATCACGGGTTGACCATGGGTCCCCTCATCGGCGCCCTCGTATCTCGCGTCACAGGCAAACCTTTTGGGGAGTTTGTCCAGGAAGAACTTGTACAGCCTCTAGGCGCAGATTTTCAGTACGGTGTCAAGGAAGCAGACTTGAGCCGTGTTGCCACCATCAGTGCGCCGCCTCCATGGCACTTGCCGGACAAGGAGGTTGACTACACTGATCCTTCTAATTCGTTAGGGAATCCGTCCATGGATGCAACCGAAGCCAATAAGCCCCTCTGGCGGTCTGCGGAACTCGCAGCATCGAACGGACATTCCAACGCTGCGGGCGTCGGGCGCATCATGTCGACCGTTTCGCTTGGAGGCATCAACGGCGGCCGGAAACTCCTCTCGCCTGCGACGATCGACCTCATCTTTCAGGAGCAGCAAAATGGACACGACCTGGTCGTCGGCCAGAAAATCAGATGGGGCATGGGCTTTGCATTGACAGGAAAGGACACCATTATGGAGTGGTTACCCGATGGTCGGATCTGCACATGGGGAGGCTGGGGTGGAAGTATGGTGATTATGGACGTAGAGCGGAAACTGACAGTGACGTATATGATGAATAAAATGGATGCGACACTGTTGGGCGGTACTCGGACCAAGTCATACATCCAAGCCGTGTATGCAGCGTTGGAGGTGACACTGGAGCTACCGCCAGACGGGCAATAAAGATAGGCTTGACGATAGAAGAGCCATGGCATAAAAGAGCACTTCGAGAATACTCAATACCCTGACTTTTGTTTTTGTGTAGCGTTTGAAAAAACATTTTCCTTTGGCCTTTTTCCAACGCTGTAGCTACAGCCCTACACTTTACCCAGCTAGTGACGGTGCAATCTTGAATCGCAAGTGACATGATATTCATGTTTCACATTCGAGAGCTGTTTCTGCTCAGGCCATATGCTCCTCCCATGCGATTTATCCTCAAAATCAAGAAACATTATTGATCATAGAGAGCAAATGTCTCTAGACTCCATCTCAATCAAGCCTATTTCTTCTTCTCCTTTTCCTCATCGTCCTCCCCTTCCTCATCTTCATCACTCTCTTCATCATCATCATCGTCGTCGTCATCATCACCCTCATCCTCGTCATCCTCGTCATCCTCATCCTCATCCTCATCATCCGACACCTCCTCTCCAAGAGCTTTGAGTCGTTCCTGTTTGCGTTAGTGACATCGTCCACACGCACCCGTCGTAGCGATTACAACGATGGAAAGACATACCTTATCCTTTGACCTCTTCTCCTCCAAATCACTCAACACCATGATCAAATCCTCCAACTCGGTCGCCTTCTCCTTCTCCGCTTCCTCCGCCTTCTTCAGCTTCTCCTTGAGCTCCTTGATCTCTTTGTCCTTGTTGTTGGCGCTGGCGCCGCCGCCCTTTTGAGAGGTAGCAGCAGCAGCGGCAGCAGCCTTGGCGCTAGCTTCCGCCTTGCGGAGTTTATCTTCTGTCGATTTGGCAGTTGCTTCAGCTTTCCGTAGTTTCTCTTCTGCTTCTTTAACTTTCCACGTCGCGTCTTGCGCTTTCGTCTTGAGGTCTTGATTCTCCTTTTTCAGTTTCTCCGTAGCAGATTGCAAAGCACTCTTTTCTGAGCTGGCTTGTTGTAGCGCGGTTTCGTGTTCGGCCTCTACTTCCAGGAGTCGCGCGTCCTTTTCTTGGGCTCGTCCTTCCATCTCTTCTTCCAGCTGCTTGATCTGGCTTTCCTTTTCCTTGACAACCCGCTCCTTCTCCTCATTCAGCAATTGCAGCTGCGCCTCGCTATTTTGCACATGACTCTGTGCGTTGCGTAGAGTTTCGCTAATGGTCGATACCTCAGCCCGTGTTTGTAATAGTGTCTCCTGCAAGCCCTTGACATTCTCGACAGCCTCCTGTCTCGCCTTCTCGCTCGCACCCAACCTCCGCTCCAACTCAGTGCGCGTTCGATGTGCGTCGTGAAGCTGCTCTTCGTACTCTTGCCTGACCTTTGCGACAGCGAGATTAGCGTCTTTGCTCGTTTGTTGTACTTTGTTGTTCAAAGCGACAATCTGGAGATTGTACTTGTTTTCCGTTTCTAGCATCGCTTGTCTATGCTCACGATCCTTCTTCGCGGCTTCCTTTTCGATATCGTCGTGCAACTTATCGTTGATACGTTTCAGCGTACTGCGTTGCTCCTCGGCGGACTGCTGAGTCTTGCGATGTTCAGCTTGTTCTTGATCAATCTTCTGCTCGAGCGTCATGACCTGCGCGCGTAGTTCTTGGATGGTTTGCTCTTTCTCGTTACTCTCCCCACGAAGCGCATCGACTACATCTCGATCGACACCGTCGTGACTTTGGTGCTGTTCAATATTCGGGTTACGGTCAATCGCTCTCGATAGCCTGCTGAAATTGTCTTTCAAAAAGTCCACAAAAGCCTCGTCGAAGAAGATATCGGGCAGACTCCCCCCTCCACCCCCAGTCTTCGGCAAGACTTCAAAGTCACGCACAAGCGGGTGCCGCCGTAATTCGGTAATAGCATCAAGATACTTGTCGCGGCCGAGCTTCGACATGAGTACGGGTTGAAGTTCGCGCCGTGGCACAGGGGAGTCTCTAGTTGAGAACTCGTATACAACTCCCAGTAGCGCCGCACACAGCCCACGTATCATGACGCGATCTTCTCCAGGTGTGAGAACGGCCTGTACCAGACTCTGCAAACTACTTGCTTCACCCAAAAAGTCGTCTACAGCGGCTGCATCTTCGAAGAGCCAGCCGAGCAGGAGCATGAGGTAGGCTACTGATATGCGTTCGTCCTCGCCGAGTTGCAGACTAGCGATAAGATTTGCTGTGAGTGTTTGTATACACGTGACGACCTCCTCTCCACTCTCTGCATCGCCCTCTTTGACCTGCATAAGCGTGTTTTTCGCTTGGTCGTCATCGAAGATGAGGTGATAGATGAGATTTGCTGCAAACCAGATCCTGTATGGGTCGCCCGTGGGTGGTACTTGTGGTCCGGCCATCAGGATTGTCAAAGCATTCGCTGTTTCGTCGCCGCCCTCGTGGCCATCAATGGCGCGGTTGAGGAAATGGGATTTTATCTGTACGTGGTTGTAGAAGTAGGACTTGATACACTCGCAGCCTGCATTGCGCAAATCAAATAGCTCATTGGGTGCTGGGGAAAGGACAAGGTTGAGGAGGGCTTCGATAACGTATACGGAGGCTACGCCGTTGGGAGAAGTAGCGCCATTGGTAGCGGGTTCAACAATGGGCCTGACCTGCTCTCCAGCGAATCCTTCTTGCAGCCGAGCATTGCCTCTGATGAGATCGGCGAGGGTGTTGAGAGCCTCGATCTTGATGGGCATGGCGGTTGCAGGGTCGAAAGTGAAGTTCAAAAGTTGTCGAACGAGGCCATGTTGTTGGAAGACATTCTGGTTCTGTAGCGTGCCCGCACTGCCCTTGACGAGGAACATGCGCATAATGGCTAGCAGCCCCCAGATGTTCTTGTCGCTTTGTGGGCTGACCCATTCATCCTCGTCTTCTGCACCTGGGCGTGCCTTTTTCGGCTTGTTGCCTCCTGGCAGAAGCGCGGCAAAGCGGGCGACGTGGCCCATTTCCCTTATGTTGGTCTGGTTGGACACGTTGCTTCGCACAAGGATGGCCAGCAGACTCAGACAATCCTGGACCACGACGCCGCCCTGTGTGAGCCCGCCGTCTTGGTGGATCATGTTGAAGACCTTGGTAAAGGCATCCTCGAAGACGAAGAGCTTCTGGAGCTCGGTCGAGGTGCGGGACAGGTCGGTGAGGACGACGAGGGCTTCGTTACGGATGGCATCGCGGGGGTCGTCGAGGGTGGCTACCAAGCGCTCGATGCCGCCGGGGGCTGTGAGGACGCATTCCTGTGTTCGTTGGGGCCGGGCCAGGGAGATGGCGCGGATGAGCTGCAGGGAGTAGAGGCGGGGGTAGAAGTCGGGCGGGTCGAGGGGGGCGAGGAGAAGCGTGATGTTGTCTTGGGGCTACCATAAGCTCAGCACTAGGTTGTTGATACAAGCACAGGAAGTACCTGTGAGAACTGGTCTGCCAGCAGAAACTCGAGTTCTGGCGAGGCCTCGGGGCTGTGCTCGTCGGGGTGGAAGAGCATGAGCAGTGTCTCGAGCACCACCTTGAGAGTGTCGACATCCTCGCTATCTTTTGTCAGGGCCTCGATGAGTCCCTTGAGCGCGTCGGATGCGACCGAGGCCGGGTACTCTTTGGCGAAGCTCCGGAGGCCGAGGATGGCGGCGCGACGGTCTTCGAGGAGGGTTGCGCTCGTCAGCCGCCCGCTAAGCGTGCTGATGGTGTCGGTGGCCCTCTGCTTGGGAGGCGCGTTGGCCTCGAGAACTCGCATCATCTTGGAAGAGTAGGGGACTATGACTCCATGGAGGATTACGGATTTGGCAGATGTAGAGTATTACGACTCCAGGTATTACGACTCCATGGTTGTAGTCCTCCAAGACTCTCGTGTAATTCTACTACGTGGAGACACGACGTGCTCCGCGTATAATTTAGCGCACGAGCCCCCACTACCCCTGCTCAGCCTCTTACCCCTGCTCACGTCGGCGGGTCGGCGTCGGCAAAACCGCGACTCCACGTCTCGGCCGCGACTGTCTGCGAAGAGCGCGTCGTCCATTACTTCAACAACCTCTTCTCCCCCCCCTCACTCTCCATCGCCCATCCATCTCGTGCGCAACTCGGTGTCGCGCGAAAAGGGTTCAAATAACGTGCTCCTGGATATTATCCAGAGTGACAAGAGGAGGACAGCACTTTCATCGCCCTGGGGCAGTCTCTTTCTTTTCATCGGCGCATCATCCACAGGAGCTTCATCGCCACCCTTTGATCTCTCACTATCATCGCAGTACTACTCAGATACTCACATCTCAGTACGCGCGCTCTCGCTTTCGCAATAATACCCTTCCCAGCTACTTTCCCCTCCCACCGCCATCATGGGTGTCCCAGCCATGTTCCGCTGGCTCAGCCAGAAATACCCCAAGATCGTATCCACTGTGCAAGAGGAGCTGCCTAAAAAGGTCGGCGACCATGTCATCCCAGTAGACCGCACCGGCCCCAATCCCAACGGCGAAGAGTTCGACAACCTATACCTCGACATGAACGGCATTGTCCATCCTTGCTCGCACCCTGAAGATAAGCCTGCGCCCAAGACTGAGGCCGACATGATGATGGCCATCTTCGAGTACACTGATCGCTGTGTCGGCATGGTCCGTCCCCGTAAGCTTCTCTACATGGCAGTCGATGGCGTTGCGCCTCGTGCCAAGATGAACCAGCAGCGTTCGCGTCGTTTCCGCGCCGCAAAAGAGGCAAAGGAAAAGGACGACGAGCGTGCTGAATTCCAAAAGATGCTCAACTCGCAGAAAGCAAGTCGTGGCGAGGACATTTCCAGTCTCGAAGAGGTCATCGAAAAGACCTGGGACTCGAATGCAATCACGCCTGGTACCCCTTTCATGCATCTTCTTGCCGAGAGTCTTCAATACTGGTGTGCCTACAAGTTCACAACCGATCCCTCGTGGAAGGACATGAAAGTCATCATCTCCGATGCATCTGTGCCTGGTGAGGGAGAACACAAGATTATGAACTTTATCCGCTCACAGCGCTCTATGCCTACCCATGACCCCAACACTTCACACGTTATTTACGGCTTGGATGCCGATCTGATCATGTTGAGTCTTGCTACCCATGAGCCTTATTTCCGTGTTCTCAGAGAAGATGTCTTCTATGACTCGGGTAAGGACAAGGTCTGCACCCGCTGCGGCCGCAAAGGACATATTCGAAACAACTGTGAATTCCCCGACGATGGCAAGAAGCTCACCGAAGAGGAAGCCGCTGAAGAGTGGTCCAATTCTGAGCACCAACTCAAGCCCTTCATCTGGCTACATACCAACATTTTGCGCGAATACTTGGCAGTAGAGATGGACACGCCAAAGCGCAAGTTCAAGTATGATCTAGAACGCTCACTCGATGACTGGGTCTTTATGTGTTTCTTTGTCGGTAACGATTTCTTGCCACATCTGCCCAGTCTCGAGATTCGAGACCAGGGTATCGACTTACTCATCAGCATCTGGCGCGATCTCGCCGCTGATATGGATGATTATGTGACCAAAGACGGTTTCCCAGACATGCGTCGTGTACAGCAGATCATGTCCGCTCTGGCGTCCCGAGAAGCTGGCATCTTCAAGAAGCGAAAGGAAGTTTCGGATCGCCAGGCAGCAAACAGGGCTAGACGCGAGGCACAGAACAACAACAACAAGCGCCAACGAACCGAAGCAAGCGGCCCACCTGGCTTCAAGCGTGCCAAGGAGAGTACCGACACTTATACCAGCGCAGGTATAGTATTCTTCGACCCCAAGGATGCGCAGTCAAAGGAAGTGCGCGATGTGCACAAGGACATCATGCATACCCGAGACGCTCAGTCCAACAAGAGCGCAGCTGCTCGGCTCAAGGAGCTCATGAAGGCCAAGGCTGATGGTACAGCCGCGCCTGAGCCGACCCCGGCAGAGCCCGCTCCCGAGGGCGAAACTGCCGTCCTTGGAAAGCGCAAAGCAGATGAGGTAGAGGACGCTGACAACGGTACACCTGGTCGCAACACGCCCGTCATTCCTGAGTCACCTGCCCAGGCTGTCGAGACCCCAAAGAAGGAAGATGGCCCACAAGAAGATACCATCATGCTTTGGGAGGATGGCTACGAGGAGCGTTACTACGAACAAAAGTTCGGCGTCGACCCCAACGACATCGCCTTCCGCAACAAAGTTGCACGTCAGTACGCCGAGGGTCTCTGTTGGGTATTGGCCTACTATATGCAAGGCTGCCCTAGTTGGACCTGGTATTTCCCCCACCACTACGCGCCCTTTGCCGCCGACTTTGTCGGTCTTGAAGACATGGATCCGCGCAAGTTGTTCGAGAAGGGCACGCCTTTCCACCCTTACGAGCAACTCATGGGTGTTTTGCCCGCCGCATCGAACCACGCTATCCCCGAGCCCTTCCGTATCCTCATGGAAGACCCCGATAGTAGCATTGTGGATTTCTACCCTCAAGATTTCCCCATTGATCTCAATGGCAAGAAGTTTGCTTGGCAGGGCGTTGCCATTTTGCCTTTTATCGACTCGAAGCGCTTGCTCGACGCCATGGCGACCAAGTACCCCGAGCTCTCAGATGACGAGAGGAAGCGCAATGAGTTTGGTAAAGAAACTCTCATCTTCTCCCAGGAAAGCGGTCTCTTTGACGACGTGGAGAAAGCGCTGTACCGCAAGGGCCAACAGAAGCACAAGATCGACCCCACGAAAAGTCGCGCGTTACATGGCGATATTGAACCACATGATCTCTTTGTCATGGACAGTCAGCTTGTTCCGCCGTTTGATGCGCAGGGCATCACGGAGTTTGAGGTTACGCAGGATAGGAGTATGAGGTATGTTCTCCCTCTCCCTACTCAGTTTTTTTCTCTTCTTTCTACGTGCGAGATAATGGTGGCTAAATGCTAATTACGATGGATAACAGAGTATACTACGAAATGCCTAGTCTGAGCTCCGCTAGAGCACACCAGTCCGCCCTACTCCCTGGCGTCAAACTACCCAAACCGGCGCTCAGCCCCGGTGAAGCAGAATCCGTACGTCGCTCCAATGAACGCGGCGGTTTCCGCGGTGGTCGTGGCGGAGGTCGTGGAGGGGGAGGGTGGCGAGGGGGCGGTGGCGGCAACAACAACAATTACAACAACGACCGCCGCGGCAACGACAACTACCACAATGGCGGTGGAAGAGGAGGAGGAGGAGGCTACCAGAACGGGCGTGGAGGCAGCGGCAATTACGGTGGCAACCAAGGAGGTTACGGTGGGAACCAAGGCGGCTATGGCGGTCCTCCTCCTCCATTCCCTGGTCCCGGCGGTAACTTTGCTCCTCCCCCTCCATTCGCTGCGGGTAACTTTCCTCCCCCACCACCGGGTTGGGTCCCTCCGCCTGGTTTCGCTCCTCCTCCTGGTTTCGCTCCTCCCCCTTCTGGCTACGGCGCTCCGCCGCCGCCAATTACTCAACAGCGACCTGCTTGGATGAACGGCGGAGGTGGGAATCAGCCGCCGCCGCAACAGGCACCTGGTGGGAGTTCGTTGAGGGATGAGAGGTTTTATAGACCGGCGGATGAGATACTTGGACGTAGTAGTAATAGCGGCGGTGGTGGTGGATATCAAGGGCATAGTGATAGAGGAGGGAGGGGTGGTGGTAGGGGTGGACGTGGTGGTGGTGGACGTGGTGGTAACGGAGGTGGATATCAAGGTAATAGGCAGAATTACAACTCTAATGACTACCGTTAGGAGTGGCAGCAGCAGCAGCAAGAAGATGGATCTGGAGGGGCGGGGATGGGCAGGGATTGGATCGGTGAGAGAGATGCGAGGAGGAGAAGGCAGTGAAGGTGGTTGTTGTTGTTGTTGTTTGTAAGATAAGTCCACATTGGTTTTGTGAGAGAGATGTGCGTCCGTAAGGGCCTCTTCTAGGCCTTCCCATTCTTATATGATGATTTTGGAGTAGTATTGCATGGACAAAAAAAAACAGTGGACGTTATAAAGCAAGCTCGAGGAACGAAATGAAGTTCTAACTCATTGTGAGACGGCGGCAGGCGTCCATGGCAAGGCTGAACCGTAGCCAAGTGCTGCTGCCCGACGCCCTCTTTCAACCGCCAATCATCGCATGCGCCCACTACTGTCGATATTCATTAAAGTACGTTGCTCTTTGCCCTAGTAGCTTTCATCGGATGCACCATAATGGCTTCGGATCACAAGTCCACCATAGATGACATACATTCCAGCAAGGGACTAAGCATACGTCTAGGAACCGACAACCCTCTCGACCACCTACCGTACACCAGAAAAGCGTCCTTCAATTCGTACACTCAACAGCACGAGCCTGTCTGCCTGCCTAACACGCGCGTCGACCTCCTGCGCGAGATACACAGCTGGGCAGATAGACAAGACGATCAGTGCATCTTCTGGCTGAGAGGGCTAGCAGGCACGGGCAAGTCGACGGTTGCGCGGACGGTTGCGCGCAGCTACCACGAGGAGCAGCGTCTAGCGGCTAGCTTCTTTTTTTCACGTAGCAGCGACGACGTAAGCTATGCGGGCAACTTGGTTACAAGCATTGCAGTAGACATTGCGAACAATGTGCCAGTATTAAGGCAGTACATTAGCGACGCAGTTGTAGAGCGCACCGATATTGCTAGCCGGTCTCTGCGGGACCAGTGGCATCACCTTGTCCTCGCCCCATTGTCGAAGCTTGGCGAGAGCGACTACCCATTGACAGCCCCGCTCGTTCTGGTTGTAGACGCGCTCGATGAATGCGACAGCGACATCGACATCAAGATCATCTTGCAGCTGCTGTCCGAGACTCAATCGCTGACGAGAGACCGGCTGCGGGTACTGCTGACAAGCAGGCCTGAACGGCGGATCCGAGACGGATTCCGCCGCATACCGCATGTAGAGCTTCAAGACGTTGTGCTGCAGCACATATCGCGGTCGATCGTCGACCATGATATAGCCCTTCTCCTACAACACGACCTCCAGCTTACTGGACGCGAACTCAATCTCACTGATGGCTGGCCAGGTGCAGAGATCATCGCGCAGCTGGTGCAGAGTGCAGGTGGCCTGTTCATCTGGGCCGCCACTGCGTGTCGCTTTATCCGCGATGGGAAGCGCTTTGCACCTGAGAGGCTGGAGACGATTCTGCGCAACGACGGTGAAGTTACTACCAGACCAGAGAAGCTCCTCAACCAGATCTACACCACAGTGCTAGAGAACTCGATCCAGATCTTTGAGCACAGAATCATAGAACAGGAGGAACTACTGATAAACATCCAATATGTTCTGGGAAGTATAGTAGCGCTATACTCTCCTCTCTCTGTGCAGTCTCTAGGTCAGCTACTAGACGTTGCAGAAGTGATTGAACCGGCGCTAGAAGACCTCCACGCCATTCTCGACATCCCGGATGATCAAAGCCGGCCAATCCGCCTGCATCACCCTTCGCTCCGCAACTTCCTGTTCGGCCAAAACAAATGCGGCGACAGGTTCTATGTAGGTGAGAAGATCGCCCACAACAAGTTGGCAGGTTGCTGCATCAAGCTCATGTCGGCGCCTACAAGCCTTCGACAGAATATGTGCAGTCTCTCTGAGCCTAGCACTCTAGTAAGCGACATAGGAGAGGACATACTGGCTATTAGCCTGTCATCCGAGCTGCGATATGCGTGCCAGTACTGGGTCGAGCACCTCGAGCGCAGCCAGCAGAATGTCATAGATGGAGACACAGTACATGTCTTTCTTCAGCAGCATCTTCTACACTGGGTCGAAGCAATGAGTCTAATAGGAGAGACGGCTAAGTGCGTGCGCTCGCTGGCTGTACTACAGGTGCTAGTCGCAGTAAGGGGTACTGAACACAATCTATATTCATTTACTGACATATGATGTAGCCATCTGCAAGCGCTTCTAGTAGTCTTGTGCATGAAGCATGGCAATTCGTATCGCAATTGAAGTCGGAAATACCAGAAGCACCTCTCCAGGTGTACGCGCTAGCTCTTGGTTTTGTACGAGAGAAAGAGCTATTGGAAACGGCGTCTACCGTTCAGGGGCAGGATAGTGTCGGCGGAAGCCATTCCGAAACGCTTGTGCATGAAGGAAATGTGCTGAACTATGAGAAAGACGACGTGTCAGATGGCGACGATCCGCTTGAAATTAGTTCAGTCAGTTCACACATTACGACAGCACGTGAGAAAGATGCAAAGGCCCACGTCGCATATGTGCTCGCAAATGATATGGAACTCCGTGCATTGTGCAGCGGGGTAGTGGATGCGCTGGGCAAAGCTGAGTTTGCTAATGAAGGGCGAAAGCTACTCAAAAGCTTTTACTGTGGCTTGCTCATGGATGCTAAGACCCAACTGGAAAAGCAAAGCGTTAGCCTACTAAAGTCTCGGAAGGGAAGGATAAGGATAAGCAGCAATATTGCAGAGATCATAAGTTTACCTGATGTCGAACACGATGAAACAGGAAGGAGAGCTGAGGAGCAAATTCGCATGCGAAAAGAGCGACTGGAGATGTGGGCGGAAGATTACACGCACACATCTCACGCCAATGAAGACTCACATGAGCGGGACGCAGTGCAACTTCGGCTTGTGGAAAAGGTAAACGGACAACCTGAGGATCTCGAGTATGCGGACTCCGGAACTAGTCCTAGTGGCGATTCAGACGAGGGGTTTGACTTGGAGGGCGAGGCGAAGGAAAACTTTGTAACAAAAGTCACTGGGATGGAAAATTTCTTTCGCAACTCCAGGTCGTTCGAGGTTTTACTTGATGGGTTTCGGGAGCTGCTTCTTCCACAGTCACTCAGAGACGTCCTACCTGCAACTTCCGTGGAGATCTCAACTAAGGAGGATAAGTCGATCAGCAACCAGATGAAATCGCTCGTTGAGGACTTCACGATGTTAGATTGGGATTGGTGGCCTCTGACACCCCGTATGAGAGCCCTCAAACCTAACGAAAAACGTCTCATCTGGAAATGCGTGAGTAGAGACCTCATGCAGAGTGACCAGCAAGCTGACTATATATAGTCGTGTGGCACCAGACTCTGGAAAGAGATAAGTGCCGAAGAGGCAGACGTTGTTAGTGTTTTACTGCCAGGTCTGGAGACGGGATCGCTCAGCATGCCTCAATGCGTCAAATCCTCGGCAGATCTACCCTTGTGGAGACGATTGGCTGACGACATCAAACACTCCTTCTCGACATTGACTGGTGGACAACAAGGGACTTCGCCAACGGCATTGAGTTCAACGACGACCACAACAACAACAGGTGTGCAGGCTACCACAACTGGTCGAACGACTGTCAACCCACAGACTCCTGCCCAAGTCCCGCAATCCTTTCCAGCTAACCAACAACTTACCTCAGTTTCCGGCTCTGGTAGTCCACCTTCGCTAAGGTGGATTATCTTCGGTACTCAACCGTACAACAAGACTGCGGAGCTGGAACATATCGAAATTGACGATTTTACCAACGACAGCCGCTTCTTTCGATCTTTAAGAGACCATTATCGGAAGCATCGCGGTCTACTCAGCCGGTGGTTCTCTATTTGGCGCATTGGAGCTTGTGACGGTGTGAGAGTACGAGTCCGATCAACGATTTGGACTCTATGATATTGCTGACACAAGACACTAGTTCGACAGAGTGGCTTCCGATCTCGTTTTCTTGGAGAATCCAGAGCTGCCTACCGATTTTCTCGAATACATCTACAACCCGAAAGCGCCTCCAAAGGGTAATGCGGAAAACCCTCTTATAAGCCGCCACAAAGCTTCAATGTTCATGAACTGCAATGACCCATGCCGCTGGAGATTTTTTCACAATTGCGTACCACATCTCATCAACAGGAGAGTTATTGACCGCGTTCCAAGGAAGAAATCCAAGTTCGCAATTAGGGACGACAATTCAATGGAGCACCAAGCATGGGGTATAACAGTTAGACACGAGATCTCCGTGGCTTATGTAGTGTGCTATCATGTTCTTATCCTGGCTCTTCCATTTGCCTTTTGGGGTTGGTGGCAATATAACCATCCAGACGATCTGCAGAATGCTGCAGTCCCCATTACTGTTGTTGCAGGGCTGTTATCGCTTTTCTGGGGCGCGAATGGCATACTAACAGAAGGCCGACACTCAGGGTCAAAGACTGGTTGATTTTTACTTTTTCTTAGTAATTTCAATACTTCTTTGAGTCATCAACACGCTTTCAGCCCGTTCCAGGTGATTGAGCATGCTACCTCCCCAGGACGCTAGTAGCTGCACCCCACGGGGATAAGGTAAGTATGACAGACTTATCGCAAATATATTTCCATCACGGTCAGCGACAGTCGAACAGGGCTGAGTCATTCCAAGTAAGCACTCAAGCATGCCTAGGTACTACCAGCTGGCACAGGATCCTTAACAATGAACCAGGTGCTGTCTAGACTGCTCGGTTATGATCTTAGCGGCTTTTGAAGAACGAGTCAGTCAGCCGAGGTTTTTTGTCAATTACAAGAATACGACAATTCGTAACGCGGTCGTGTAATATCCGACTGGACACCCAGCTACTGGTAAATCGAATGATGAACCACATGTGCGATATTAGTTTGAAATTCTTCTTAAAGCTATTCATTTGGGCGACTGAATAACAGAAAGATGGATGCGCATTGATGATCAGACACCAAAAACGTGATGGATGCTGCAGAGGTTAACTTCAGAAGTCGCGTAGCTGCTACTGTAAAGGTGGCTTTTATAAGCAAGCACACACTCAAGTTGGTTTTGTGCACATTGAAGTCCCAAACCGCCGTCCACGATAACACAAGTCGCGCGAAACAGCTGCGAGGTCGATAACAATAGATCTCGTGGTTCCGTTTGTGATAAATAGCGCGGCGCTCTTCCCGTACCATGGACCTACCTAACGGTCTGCGGTCAAGACACGCACTCCTAGTTCCCTTCCCCCACGGAGAAACCCAGTAATTCTTAAGCTTCATCATCCGATATTCTGAAAATCGTTGTCATCAGCGGACGCAGTAGCCTGACCAAAGTGCCCTACATGGGAGTGCAGCACGCGTTCCGACCGGAAGAAGTCGGCATTTCGGAAAGAAAAGCGAAGAACCATCTGACGTTGATGGTGTGATTTTTAGTCACTGCATACAACGGCACCAACTACTGCAACATCAGTATGTGGCTTGAGGTGAAGAAGAAGTCCCGGGACGCGCAACTGCGAGAAGAAGGTTTACAGGTCTCCGGCAACAATGTAAATGATTGAGAGGTTTTCAAGGGATACATCGCAACTCCATCTTGCCGCAAGTAGCAGTGATCCCGCGACATAACCTCCCTCCCGTCGCATGCAAGTAAAAAAGACGACGTGTAGGTGTTCGAGTGCCCATATATTGCGTTCGGAGTCTAGTCCTATACCAGCTTCTACCCACTTCATACGTTCGTACCTGAACATCCTCATGCAACCATGCCTGCAGCCGGAAAAAAGTGGCGGGACCCGCGAAAGCCGCATCAATCACACGTGGGCCATACGTAATACATGTCATCTCTTACAGCTGATTTGATCCGGGTAAGCGTAGTTTCCGTCACGCTTTCACGAGGGTGCTGTGGACCCTTCCGAGTTTTAGGTAAGAAACCCTGCTTACTCAAAAGGCAAGAATGGTGTATCACCGCGGAGATGCACACTTCAGCGGGTCTTGTAGGAAACAAGAGAGTGGTGTGTTTGTAGGTGTGTTCGCAATGGTGATGCGATATAAAGAGAAGCTTGGGATGTGCAGATGTAGCAAATACAATATTAATTATCAGTTTTCATTACTACTTCAATAGTGGTAATAGTGAAATCCGTGCACTCCATCTTCAGACATATCATTCACAACAACAATCGCAACCAACACCTCTCTCGACAATAAAACTCATCTTCCATCCACCGAGGACAGCCGAAAACATACTACTCCAACTACTCGATCCCACGAAAATGGGCGCCCTAACCCCCTCCCAAGTCCGCACGATCAAAGCCACGGTTCCTGTCCTTGCCGAACACGGCAACACAATCACAACCAGGTTCTACCACGACCTCATAGAAGTACACCCAGAGCTTAAGAATGTCTTCAACAACACCCACCAAGCAACCGGACACCAAGCCCAAGCGCTCGCCGGCGCTCTTTACGCCTACGCCGCCAACATCGATGACCTAGGCAAACTCTCGCCCGCCGTCGAACTGATATGCCACAAGCACGTATCCTTGTTCATTCGCCCAGACCAGTACGACGTCGTCGGCAAACATCTACTCGAGACGATGAGCACAGTGTTGGGTGAAGCCGCGACACCCGAAATCCTAGAAGCATGGGGAGCGGCGTACTGGCAACTAGCCAACCTGATGATTGGCAAAGAAGACGAAATGTACAAACAGACGGCCTACTGGCCTGACTGGAAAGACTTTTCCATTGCCAAGAAAGAAAAGGAGAGTGACGAGATTACAAGTTTCTATCTCGAGCCAGTGGACAAGGAGTTCAAGTTACCGATTTACAAGCCGGGACAGTACATCTCGGTCAATGTATTCGTGGAAGAGCTAGATGGTGGCGTGTGGCAGGCGCGACAGTATAGTCTGAGCGACGCGCCGGGCAAGAAGTATTTGAGGATAAGTGTCAAGAGAGAGCCAGGGATTGAGGTGGGAGAGAAGAAACACATGACGCATGCGGGTTATATATCGAATCTGCTGCATGACATGAAGAATGAGGGGGATGTGATCAAGGTCTCGCACCCATTTGGAGATTTCTTCTTCGACAAGGACGAGGTGGATGCGGATGCACCTGTCGTGCTCATTTCAGCAGGCGTCGGTTTGACTGCCTTGACATCCATCTTCAACTCGCTGACGAGCGAGAAGTCAAATCGCCCGATAACCTGGATCCAAGGCGCACGTAACTCGGCCACACGCGCGTTTAAAGCCGACTTCGACCAATGCGCTGCCGCAAATGAGAACGTGCATGCTGTGTACTACTCGTCAAGTCCAAGCGAAGGGGAAGTTCAGGGTCGCGACTACACCATACAAGGTCGCGTCGATCTAGACAAGATTGACAGGCAACACCTGCATGTGGACAGTGGCAAGACAGTGTACTACTGTTGTGGACCCACAGGATTCATGCTCGACGTTGAGGCCAAGTTGAAGAGCTATGGCGTGCCTAGCGAACGGGTGAAGATGGAGTTGTTCGGTACCGGCGGAGTACCGAGGGTCTAGAGGCATTAGAATATTGGGTGTATAATGGAGATCGACCGTAGTATTGGCGTAGACGAAGGATTGGCGTAGAATGAAGTTACTGTCCTTTTTTTTTGCTTTACATCGGGTCAGCCGGTTGGTGATTCATCATGTACGTTATCTGTAAACTGTGTATTAGTTATCATATCAAATTCCCGCTGCGTTAGTACATCCAACTCGATTTGCCTCATCCGCGCGCCTGTTATTGACGGGTGTTGTCTGTGCAGCGGCGGCGTACCAACCACTAACTCGGGATGTACACAACAAACGCGCATACCTCAGGACGCCATTTGCAACGTTCCCACACAAACGTGCAGCGGAACGACGAGCTTTGATTGTAGATCATCCTACCGCGGCTGTCAACGGGTACGGTCAGGTACTAGGACATTGACCATTTCCGAAGTCCCGGTCATAACAGCAGGTCAGGTCAGGCCAGAGGTCGCACACTTGCTTCACGGTACTTGGGTAAACGCAGGGCAATGTCCTCGGGACCATGCAGAGAACCCTCTCTCCCTTACCCACTGAACTTGATCACCGAGCATAAGGGGTGCATGAGGCTCACCTGCCAGCAGAGCAGGGCCGGTAGGATCGTATGACACGGTAGGGCCGAATTCTGAACGTTGTCCGTAGCATATTCATGCCGCTGGACGCGCATCGGAAGTGTACGCGCTCCCGCCTCGCTCTGATTTGTCGACACGACCTAAACAAGGCGTTATGGGGGAGAATTCTGGATGGCTGGCAGGCTGGCGGGTAGAAAGCAGGCGCCAACTGAGATGACGGCATGCAGTCATTCAAGCAGAGTCATCTCGGCGGCTCGTGTCCGGAGCCCTCACCGGCGAAAGGGGTAATTTTCTGGAAAAGACAGGGTGTGGGCGAGTGAGGGTGTGCGCAAAGTGACCAATCCGGCCGACTTCTAGAAATTGCACAGAAGGGCGCTCGGATAGTGTGTGAGCCTTAGACACAGGGTTGCGACAGGTCATCCTTGCGCCGGAACGTTGGTCAAAGGAGCTGGGGCCGCAACCGCCGGCTGGCCAGTTGCGATGACACAAAGCGCAAGGAAATATGAGGCGCCCTGTGCGTCTCGGAGACAAGAATAGCTCCCAGGAATCCATGTCGGCGGTGGAGGATGAAACAGTTACGGCAGCTCTGCCGTAGTTGGCACAGTACATGTTGTGTGCGCGTGACGATGTAACGATGATTCAATAAGAAATAAGATTTAGCTTGTGCTGTCGATCGCAGATGGATTATGAACGGCTACGGGGAGTAGGGTGCGGTGTAGAAATAATTATGCTTTTGTGATGTGCAACGGAAAAACCGTGCACAGCACGTTTCGAAGATGCTCGTGTCAGTCATGGAAACGCGACGAGGCTGGGAGTGGGTCCGGCAAATATGGACGTATTCTTTGGTGGGACGCGCAAGCACAGACGGATCTGGCGGAAGTATACCGAAAGAGCGCCAGGCTGCAAAGAGTTGTCGATATGCGGGACCCCTTCACCGCAACAAAGCCAGGAGAAAGATGCAAATGTCGGTGTCGGTGGGCGAGGGCTTGGCTAGAACTGGAGTGGTAAGTAAGAGAGTACCTGACTTGTACCTGACTTGGCCGAACAAAGACGTGCTAAAGGGGGATGCGCTTGCCGGGAAGAGCAGAGCAGGGAGACATGGCATATCGCAGAGGATGCACATATTTCGATTGCAGTATTTCGATTGCAGTTGCACTCAGTTCTCATTTCTCATTTCTCAGAACTCATGCAGGTCTACAACGTTGACATGCGGCCTCGTGGTGGCGGTGTACACGACGCAGACCTGCCGTTCGCGAGCCCTGGACGATTGACTCGGCGGCGCTCAGGGGGCGTCGGCGGGTGTCTCGTAAGGCAGAGGGGCGTCTCCAACCTCCACAAAATGAACGAGCGTCGGCCAATAGGAA